TGTAATGGGAGACCTGAGAGCAGCTCCAGTGCCTAAAGGGGCTCCAGGAAACCTGGAGAGGGGCTTTGGGCAAGGGCCTGTAGGGACAGGCCAAGGGGAATGGCTTTAACCTGCCCGAGGGGAGACTGAGCTGAGCTCTTAGGCAGAAGCTCTTCCCTGTGAGGGTGCTGAGGCGCTGGCACAGGGTGCCCAGAGAAGCTGTGGCTGCCCCATCCCTGGCAGTGTTCAAGGCCAGGTTGGACACAGGGGCTTGGAGCAAGCTGCTCTAGTGGAAGGGGTCCCTGCCTGTGGCAGGGGTTGGAGCTGGGTGAGCTTTAAGGTCCCTTCCGACCCAAGCCAGGCTGGGATTTCCTGCTGCCTCTCTGTATCAGTGACTCTGCTTGCCTTGTATTCCTAAAACCCTTTTCTCATTTCAGTACCAGTACTGGAACACAAAGGCACGTCGGAACGAGTTCACTGTGCTGGAGCTGTATGAGGGGACAGAGCAATACAATGCCACAGCCTTCAGCTCCCTGGACCGCCCCATTTTACCTCAGGTTCTCCAGCAATCTTACATCTTCCCGTCTGCCATCAGTGCCATGGAGGCCACCATCACTGAGCGGGGCATCACCAGCCGGCACTTGCTCGGTGAGTATGTCCTGCTCTGTTCTGCATGTGCTGATGCTGCCTGCACAAGGCAGTTTCACATTGAAATTCAAGCAAAATCAGTTTGCCTGCAAAAGTGATGCCTGTGGGCTGCTCTGGCCTCCTGGCAAGAGCAGGGATAGGCACCAAGAGAGCACTTACGTGAGCTGCTAGGAAACACAGTCAGAAAGAGCCATTCTTGAGATGTGTTTCTTTAATGCACAGTTGGGCTTCCCTCTGGGGCCATCCTCTCCCTTCCCAAGGCTCTGCTGGATCCTCGCCGCCCAGAGATCCCCACAGAACAAAGCAGGTAAGGAAAGCAGGATAACCACTATTCCTGGACGGCTTTGAGGAGGGATTTGTTTTGTGTGTAGTAGAGTTGTGTCAAGTAGAACACCTTGTCCTGGACAGATTCAGGGCAATTCTTGCATTAAATGAAGTGAGGTCACCGCACCCAGTCTGTGACCATGGAAAATGTTTGTGATACAATAGATCTTACCATTAGCAACATGAGTGTTATCTCCATTGTAAGAAGTAGCAGGCAGAGTGAGTGCCTGAAGTTTTTAGAATTACACTTACTTTTAGCACTTCAGAGGGCTGTTGCAGTGCAGTCTGACCCAGTGGCATGTGTGGTTTTCATCGTGCATCAGAAATGAATCTGCACTGGGAAAAGCCACTAAATTTGCTGTTTCAGGTCAGCTTGTGATGATCAGACATGAAATGCAGGTGATGTCCTTCATGTGCTGGTCGACTGGGTTTTGATTTCTCTCTAAATGCCTTTCAGAGAAGAGAACCTGATTCCATACTCCCCTGATGTGCAGATCCATGCTGAGAGGTTTATCAACTACAATCAAACCATATCCCGGATGAGAGGGATTTATACAGCCCCCTCTGGCCTAGAGTCTACTTGTCTGGTGAGCACAGGCTGGAAGCTTCAGTGTAGAGATAAGGAGGTGCTGCAGCCTGTGGCAGGGAGCTCTGTGACTGCTGATCAAGTGGCTGCTCACTGCTTCAGTGTTTCTTCTTTTAATCAGAACTATGGACTTCACTCAGTCAGTTTTGATGCACCCAATCCTGTGCTCAGCTCTGGGCCCCTGACTGTAAGAGAGACATTGAGGTGCTGGAGCAGGGCCAGAGAAGGGCAACAGAGCTGGTGCAGGGCCTGGAGCACAAGTGTGATGGGGAAGGGCTGAGGGACCTGGGGGGTTCAGTCTGGAGAAGAGAAGGCTCAGGGAGGACCTGATGGCTCCCTACAAGTGCCTGACAGGAGGATGGAGCCAGGAGGGGCTGGGCTCTGCTCCCAAGGAACAAGGGATGGGACAAGAGGAACCGGCCTCAAGCTGCACCAGGGCAGGTTTAGATGGAGCTGAGGAACAATTCCTTCCCCAGAGGGTGCTCGGGCATTGGAACAGGCTGCCCAGGGCAGGGCTGCAGTCACCGTCCCTGCAAGTGTTTGCACCCAGTGGAGACAAGGCCTTAGTGCCATGGGTTAGTGGTGGCCTTGGCAGTGCTGGGGTGAGGGTTGGACTGGATGAGCTTAAAGGGCTTTTCCAACCCAGTTGATTCTGTGATTCCATGATCTGGTTTTATACCAGATTTACACTGCCCCATCCCTGTCATTGTTCAGGGCCAGGTTGAACAGAGCCTTGAGTGCCAGGGTCTAGTGTGAGGTGTCCCTGCCCATGGCAGGGGGTTGGAACTGGATGATCTTAAGGTCCTTTCCAACCCAAACCATTCTATGATTCTACACTAAAACCTGCATTTACCAGCTCATGATTTCATCCCTGCAGGTTGTTGCATACGGCCTGGACATCTACCAGACCCGAGTGTACCCATCGAAGCAGTTTGATGTCCTGAAGGATGACTATGACTACGTGCTCATAAGCAGCGTCCTCTTTGGGCTGGTTTTTGCTACCATGATCACAAAGAGACTGGCACAGGTGAAGCTTCTGAACCGGGCCTGGCGCTAAGGCTGCGGGCCCAGGGAGGGCTTTGGCTGGAGAAGACATCTGAGATGTGGACTGGCTGAAGATCTGTCACCCCATGTTGGGTTCAGTTCCAAGTTCCAGCTTGCTTGATGGGTGCAAACACCTGTATTATGTTTTTGCTGGAGGATATCTGGGAGGAAAAGGTGCTGGTGCAACAACACAATATGGTGCCTGTGTGTTTCCCAGGGAGAAGAAATGGAAGAGAGACTATTATAAAGTAAATCTCCCCAACCTCCATTAATGCCCTAAAATCTGCCATGGCATCATCTCCCTGATGTTAGTGAAGATCTAAGGATGCACATACTCCTGATCCTCATCTCTTCCTCAGCAAGAGGAGGACAGAGGGATGTTGTGCTGTGTGTGCACGGTGCCACTTGAGCTACTGTGGGCAAGGACTGAGGAGACGTTGGGAAGAAGGTTAGAACTTGGATGGATGCTGTTGGAAAATGGCCCCATTGGGTCACTCAGTCACGGGGCTGTGGAAGGAATTTGAATGTAAAATCTCTCCATGTTCTTTATTTATTATGATGTTGGTTTTAATTTTGCTGTATTTGGTGTATAACACTGGGGCTAAGGTCTCATCATGGTTGGGGAGTGAAGAACCTCACAGTGTTCCCCCCAATAATGGCCATGTGCTCTTTGTATATGGATTTAGAATCATGGAATCAACTGGGTTGGAAAAGCCCCTTCAGCTCATCCAGTCCAACCGTTCCCTGCACTGCCAAGGCCACCACTAACCCATGGCACTGAGGCCTCGTCTCCACGCTGTGTGAGCACTTGCAGGGATGGTGACTGCAGCCCTGCCCTGGGCAGCCTGTTCCAATGCCTGAGCACCCTCTGGGGCAGGAATTGTTCCTCAGCTCCATCTAAACCTGCCCTGGTGCAGCTTGAGGCCGGTTCCTCTTGTCCCATCCCTTGTTCCTTGGGAGCAGAGCCCAGCCCCTCCTGGCTCCATCCTCCTGTCAGGCACTTGTAGGGAGCCATCAGGTCCCCCCCGAGCCTTCTGTTCTCCAGACTGAACCCCCCAGGTCCCTCAGCCCTTTCCCATCACACTTGTGCTCCAGGCCCTGCACCAGCTCCAGTGCCCTTCTCTGGCCCCACTCCAGCACCTCAATGTCTCTCTTGTAGTGAGGAGCCCAGAACTGAATGCAGGTTTTGAGGTGCAGCCTCACCAGTGCAGAGGCACAACCACTGCCCTGGCCCTGCTGCCACACTGGTACTGATACAGGCCAGGATGCTGGGGGCTTCCTGGACACAAGCTGCTTGTGTTCAGTCAGCACCTCCAGGTCCTTTCCCATGTGCAGTTCCCAGCCACTCCTCCCAAAGCCTGAAGCGTTCTATGAGGTTGTCATGACCCAAGTTCAGGCCCTGACACTTTACCTTGTTGACCCTCATCCCACTGGCCACAGCCTGCTGCTCCAGCCTGTCCAGATCAGCCCTGTCCTCCACCAGGTCAACGCTCCCACCCACCTTGGTGTCATCTACAAGGCAACATTGTCACAACTGATTTTTATCAGCGAGTTGTGGAGTGAGAGGCTGTGTCCTGTCAGGCACCTCCTGCGTGTGCAGAGAGCCCCAACAAAGCTGTGTCACAGAATCAGACCAGCTTGGGTTGGAAGGGACCTTAAAGCTCATCCAGCTCCAGCCCCTGCCACAGGCAGGAACCCCTTCCACTAGAGCAGCTTGCTCCAAGCCCCTGTGTCCAACCTGGCCTTGAACACTGCCAGGGATGGGGCAGCCACAGCTTCTCTGGGCACCCTGTGCCAGCGCCTCAGCACCCTCACAGGGAAGAGCTTCTGCCTAAGAGCTCATCTCAGTCTCCCCTCTGGCAGGTTAAAGCCATTCCCCTTGGCCTGTCCCTACATCCCTTGTCCCAAGCCCCTCTCCAGCTTTCCTGCAGCCCCTTCAGGCACTGGAGCTGCTCTCAGGTCTCCCCTTCAGGAGCCTTCTCTTCTCCAGGCTGCCCCAGCCCAGCTCTCTGAGCCTGGCTCCAGAGCAGAGCTGCTCCAGCCCTCGCAGCATCTCCAAGGCCTCCTCTGGCCTCGCTCCAGCAGCTCCACGTCCCTCTTGTGCTGCTGCCCCGGGGCTGGATCAGGGCTGCGGGGGGAGGGAGTGTCTCCCCCCACTCCCGGTCTCGGGAAGCACCAGCACGCTCACCCCCCCCCCCCCCCGCGCATGCGCCTCCCGCAAACTTGCTGACTCATATACTGCGCACGCGCCCGGACCGTGCCCTCCTCCTCCAATCAGAGGGTGCGAAGCGCATGCGGCCGGCACGTCACTTCCTGTGTGGCGGCGCGCGGGGGGCGGCCCTTCCTGCCCGCGCTGTCCCTCCTCCTCCTCCTCCTCCGCCGCCGCGGCCCCCCCCTTCCCCCCCCGTCCCCCCCCCCCCCTCCGCCCCCTCGCCCAGCGCAGCGGCAAGATGGCGGCGGGCGGCGGCGCGGGGGCCGCGGCAGAGCCCGGCTGGGAGGTGGCGGTGCGGCCGCTGCTCTCCGCCTCGTACTCGGCCTTCGAGATGAAGGAGCTCCCGCAGCTGCTCGCCTCGGTTATCGAGAGGTGAGGGCTCACCTGTGCCGCGCAGAGTGGGGGCGGCCCGGGCCCTGCCTCCCCTCTCAGCGGCTTCCCCTCAGGGCGGGAGGTTCCTCGGGGGTCGCGCTGAGGGAAGCGGGGCTCAGAGCGGGTGCCGCCGGCGCTGGCTGACGGGCGGCCCGGCCCGGCTCGGCTCGGCGTTGGGCAGCGGCGGCTGCCGGTGCCAGAACGGGAGCCCCGAGCAGTGTCCGGCGAGTCACTCACGCCCAGCCCGCTGCCGGTTTCCTGGGGACTGGGAGGCTCTCGGGGTGGTGCCCTTGGGACCTAATAAGCGGGGATGATGATGCACGCCCGGCCACGGCCACAGCGGCTCTGACAAGTCACCCCGCGGAGAGGCTTCGGGACGGCTCTGCTGTTCGTGCCTTTGTCCAAGGGGGATGTCAGGCTGTGCCGTGAAAGCTGTTGTCTCCCTTGACCTGGCGACATGTCCTGGGGGGGACATGCGGTGGCACCGGCTTCCTTTGGGTTCCTACCCATGGGGCACTGCCCGCCTTTTAAAGAGAAATAAAGCTGAAGCACATCGAGCCTGCCTTTGCTAACAGCAAAGTTAGACCCGGAGCAGGAGTGTTTAGTTTAGCTTACAGCTGATTGTATGACCTAAAGCACTAGGTGTGAATGCCACAGCGTTGTGCTCAGAGATATAGCCCTGACCACACGAAGTTGTTAGGAAACACAAGCTAAACACTGCACTGAGGAAGGTAATGAAGTAAAGCTTTGTGGTGTTGTGCTCGGTGTGGAATGGCTGATGTACGATCGGTGTCAGTGTGCTGTGCAGGTCATATGCTAGTAGTCACCTAGAATCTGCTCAATATTGATGTGATTTGGGCAGTGCTGAGGCTGGCCTTTTAATCTGCTGTTTTCGGGGGGGTGGTTTAGTCTGGAGCAGAGAAGGCTCAGTGGGGACCTTATTGCTCTCTTCCAAACCACTTGATTCTATGATTCTGTGATTTAGGGACCATTTCAGATTCGCTTTTCCTTGTGGAGCTCCGCTGTCAGTGTGCCTAAAGGTCATTATTGGAGTGTCAGCAGTTGCAGAACACACAGGAACACTGAAGTGGATTCACTTGACTGTCGGGAGAGGTCTGTTTCCTCTCCTAGTGACAGCGAAGGTCTCACTTTCCACTTGGAACACGAGTGTGTTGCCTTTAAGTAGCGTTGCTCTGAGGCTTGGAGTCGTGTGCCTGATGCTCGCTGTGATTCAGAACCGGCAGGAGTTAACATGAGCACAAGTCTCTTATTTCGTGCCTTGATATAAGATGTGGCAAATCACAGAGGGGGAAGAAACCTCCAGCTTGTTGTGTTTGGAGCCATGCTCTTCCGTGCTGAACAAATCATCTATCTTTAGATTTCTAATCTAAAATATGTTATCTGGTGGAGTTATTTTTGGAAGCTGGTTGTTGGCTCTTGCAGCGAGACTGTTGGTTGACACCATCTGCAGAGTGGCTGGATTTCCTCTCAAATAAACGTGGTGTGATGACAGCAAAATCCTAGGATCATGAAGGGACCTCTGGAGATCATCCAGTCCTGCCTCCTGCCAAGGCAGGGCCACCCAGAGTAGGGCACATAGGAACGCATCCAGGCAGGTTTGGGATGGCTCCAGAGAGGGAGACTCCACAGCCCCCCTGGGCAGCCTGTGCCAGGGCTCTGCCACCCTCAATGGAAAGATGTTCTTGCTCATGTTGAGGTGAAACTTGCTGTGGTTTAGTTTGTGGCCATTGCTCCTCATCCTGTCACTGGGCACCACTGGAAAGAGTCTGGTGCTGACACCTGCCTTAAAAGCATTAACATAGTTCTTTCCGTAATAAACTAGTAAACTCATTTGTTTGAACAAGTCTTATAGTTCATTTTGAAGTTTAAGCATCACTGAGTTCCTGGAGTTCCCTTAGCAGGTATGTTCAGGAATTGATAGACTTTGGCCTCTGGTTTGACATAACTGATAGAAACGGTGGCTTAGAAAGATGCAGCTGAAGTGAATGTGGTTTACAAAGCCTGTGGGGGTGCAGTGAGGCTGGTTTGCAGGGAAGGGTTTTCCACAGGGGAGAACTCCTGCACCTGCTGCTGTGTCTTCAGGAGGAAGAGGTTGTTCTTGTGCCTGCTGCCTTACATAAAGGCTCTATTTTGGGCCTGTTGGGGATTTGGAAGCAGAACTGAGGCAGGAGGTGGTTGTTGCTGACGGGTTATATTTGATATTGACACAGAGGCTTCTCGTTTAGCGTGAGTAATGAGCTTCCCTGGGAAGCAGAAGTTAGTTAAGCAATAAATAGCAATACAGTAGCCTAAAGTTGTTGTTAAATCTCACTATAGATGCAGTATAACACTAGCACATCACAGATTAAGCTGTTATCTCTCACTTATGTTTATTCTCAAGGACTTGATGGTTCGTTGACAGGTGCCTTCCGCTTTTCACCACCATAACAGATCCAAGCCTCTTCTTGCCCAATCCAGATGGAATTCCCAACCTTGTTCTGTTTTTTTACACCTTGTGGGTGTTGTGCCTTGAACTGCTTGACCTGTATGGTAGAGCAGTTGTTGAGGAGCTGCCAGCTGTTGTTCCCAATTTGTTCTATTTGTTCTATTAATATTGTTGTATACATCTGGCTGCTGCTGATTTATAGTTGGCATAAAGAGGTAGGTGAGCAAAATCGGTGTCTGAATATAAGAACACAAACATTTTTGCACATGCAGTCTCTGGGCTCGTTGTTCCCAATTTGTTCTATTAATATATGTTGTATACATCTGGCTGCTGCTGATTTATAGTTGGCATAAAGAGGTAGGTGAGCAAAATCGGTGTCTGAATATAAGAACACAAACATTTTTGCACATTCAGTCTCTGGGCTCGTTGCCCATCCATGTGCTTTGGGCAGGAGGTGGAGAGGTGAAGCCTGGTGAGCAAGATGTTGGAACTCGGTCATGTTATGCTGCTGATCTTCATGCAAAGCCTCTCTTAACGGCTGCTTTTCTATTTCAGCTTTTTAGGTAGGCTGTGTAGGGTCCAGGGAAGGACAACGGAGCTGGTGAAGGGCCTGGAGCACAAGTGTGATGGGGAACGGCTGAGGGACCTGGGAGGGGGTTAATGGTGGCCTTGGCAGTGTTGGAACAGATGGACTTGATGGTCTTAAAAGTCTTTTCCAACCTGGTTGATTCTAACCAGGAAATCAAAGCTACAAAGCTGATGAGTATTTCTCCTTGCTCATTTTTTTCTGGAGAAATGATAAATTCTGAAGTTTCTTCTGTTTCAGCCACATCTTCCATTGTGACTGGAAACGATGACTTGGGATAGAAAAAAGGGAAGGCAACTGGGAATGGTGTGCTGTTTTCTCCCTCCCACCCCACCAAAGCTGGCACCATCATGTGCTGCTGGACCAAGGATTTGTTCTACTGTGATCTGCAGCAGTGCTGCTCACTGACTAGCTTTAGACATCCTGGGTTTAGCTGGGTATTTAGCTGATGCCCTCTGCTCCCCACCTCCCCTCCAGAAATCATCACTGTCACCAGAGGTGAAGAGGCCTCTGTTTAAAGAGGTAAAGTTGACTTGGGCAGTGAAGTTGAGTCGTATAATCTGTTCTTCCACCTTGCCCATGGAATGAAAAGGGGAAATAAAGCGGTTTAAGTATGTAATAGGCAGATACCCACATTCATAGTTGTCTCACAGGAAGCATTAAGGGGAGAACCAGCTATGCAAGCAGAGCTTAGTTTCTGTTCTTGGCGTGGTTGTCCTCAGGTTTCTGTGCAGATGGGCTGTGGTGTGACACTGCAGCAGCTTTTGATGTGCCATGTCTTGCCTGTGTATCAATGTTCCCCGTGGCCAGCACGCCTCATGGAGGAACCTCAGAGACGTGATTTTCAGCGTGTTGATGTGTGTTTTGCTTGGCGGCGTTCACTTTTGGTTTGAGTTGGTGTTGACTTTTCGGTCACTGAGCTGTGTGTTGGTCTGTGTGTGGGGCAGGGTGCTGTGGGTCTCTGAAATGCCAAGTCTCTGCCCACGAGGCTGATTGCGGGGGGTGCATTTTTCTCTTCTGTGCGTTACCTTCGCAAGTCGTTACTCCCCGGTCTGTCACAGAGGCTGCCTTGTTTGTTTGTTAGTATGCAGTTGCCTGTTTTGATCCTTCTGTTTTGTGGAATTGCACCAACTCCAGTTGACTCCGTGCCTTAACAGAAAGGGAATGCCAGTGCTCTGCTCCTGGCAAATCCTGCTGAGCGTTACAGAACAAACAGGCCAAACTTTATGGGCAGCTGGGTTTAGAATAACTTAAAGATGAATGGTCAACTGGGAGAGCCATAGTTAAAGGGGCTGAGCTGTTGATGGTGCATCATAGAATCCCAGACTGGTTTGGGTTGGAAGGGAACTTAAAGCTTGTCCAGTTCTAACCACTGCCATGGGCAGGGACCCCTTCCACTAGAGCAGCTTGCTCCAAGCCCCTGTGTCCAACCTGGCCTTGAACACTGCCAGGGATGGGGCAGCCACAGCTTCTCTGGGCACCCTGTGCCAGCGCCTCAGCACCCTCACAGGGAAGAGCTTCTGCCTAAGAGCTCATCTCAGTCTCCCTGTAAATCCACAAAGGAGGAACATTTGTAGTTTTGGAATGACGTCCTTACATTTCCTGTGTGGATAGCGATGCTGATGCCATCATCCGTGTGCTGCTGGAGGACTCAGCCCTGAGAACATGAGAGATGGGACCCAGAACTTTGATTTGGAGAGCATGTGTGATTTTGACAATCTTGTCAGCATATCCTGAGCGTGGTGTGGTGCTGCTGTCATACTGTGTGCAATTGACACATCTCCTTTTCTCCTGTTGCAGTGAATCTGAAATCCTGCACCACGACAAACAATATGAGCCTTTTTACTCCTCCTTTGTTGCACTTTCTACACATTACATCACTACTGTGTGCGGTCTAAGTAAGTGTTCCCTCTCCTTTGCTTCTCTTGCTCTTGTGTTATGACTGGGGTGTAGAAAAAGTAAACTGGAACTGCTGTCCTTTGTCTCCAGCCCTCTTTAAAGACAGAGGGGATGAGGCCAGCGCTGCTGGCTTCTGTACTGGCACAGTGTCAACTCAGATGGAAAGGGAAACTTGTCAATAGGAGGATTTGGCCACCAAATACTGGACAGTGCTGAGTTTTTGTTGCTTGTTCATTGGCCTGATTTCATTTAGGGAAAATAACTTTGAATCAAATGAAGTGTATAAATCAATTTTCAGGATTTTTAGATTATTCTTTAGCAATTATTTTAGTATGTTGGAATTAATGATCAAAACTCTGTGACTCAAAATTATTTCCTATTATTTTGGCTGATAGAATTTGGCAATTTCAGCAAAAAGAGTGGTTTAGGTCAACTTATTTTATGTTCTTCAGTGCTTCTGCCAGTATTAAGTGATGTTGCTGGGGAAGCCATTTCATCTATATTACCTTGTCTGGCTTATCTCTGCTTCACTGACATTTCTTGGGTTACCTTTTAATGAGATTGTATTTATAATTGCATCTGTGTGTTCGGCACAGTAGCTTGTGAGTGCATCCATGTTGCACCTCACTCTGTTTTACTGATAGCACTAAGAACACATTTCTCTGAATGAGTTTAAAACTTGTCCTGAGTACAAATATCTCCTTTTTTCAGTACCTAGAAACCAATTGCAGTCGGTGGCAGCTGCTTGTAAAGTCCTCATTGAATTCTCACTGCTTCGCCTTGAGAACCCAGATGAAGCATGTGCTGTGTCACAGGTGAGAGCTGATTTTGCCTGCTAGAGTGTTAAAATGGGTTTTGGCCTCTTAATTCCAAAGTATAATGTTGCATAAGGCAAAGTTAATGAAGGTGTGCTGCTTCAGCAGAGTGCTGAGTCTTACCTCTGCATCCTTCACTCAATTTCAAGCTGAAATAAAGGGAACCTGAAGCCTTGGTTAATTCTTGCATTTTTCTGTGGTCTGGTTTAGTTTTGTGTAATAACCTGGAACAAAACAGTGGAATTCTTAAAGATGGATTCTTTCCCCAGTTGTATTTCAGTCATTCTGGGAAAGCTGAAATCTATTTCAAAGAGGAAAGGCATGCGAGAAGCCTTCACATAATTTCACTTGTGATAGGGACATAATGTCACTTCCTTCAAGCCTTAGTTTGTCACAGGAAAGTGCCTTTCCAGATGCTTTTCCCTAACATGCACGTGGGACAATGTTAATGACCTGAATTACCTGCAATTAGGGGTAATACCACTACTACCATGTCTTTGGTATGAGATCAGAGTGGGTTTGGAACGTTGCAGTAGCTGCACTAGCTGAGGGTACAGTACTCTTAATGCGGTTGCTTAGAATAAATGCTGTTGAGGAATAATTGGAATCAAGAGAGTTTAAGTTGTACTTGATGCCTTTTTCTTTGTAGAAACACCTCATTCTGTTGATAAAGGGGCTGTGTACGGGCTGCAGCCGCCTGGATCGAACTGAAATCATTACCTTCACAGCAATGATGAAGTCAGCCAAGCTGCCTCAGACTGTTAAAACCCTCTCTGATGGTAAGGGTTTATATCACTTGAAGCACTTGAGTTAGGCATAGAAAATACTGCAGGTTTGAGGTATGAAATGGTGCTTTGCTGTTTGCCCTGCAGTAGAGGACCAGAAGGAGCTGGCCTCCCCGGTGAGCCCAGAACTGAGACAGAAAGAAGTGCAGATGAACTTCCTCAATCAGTTGACATCAGTTTTCAACCCTAGAGTCTCGTCGTCACCATCTATCACACCAGAAACACAGGTAAACAGCCAACCCTAGAATAGGGTTGAACCTTAGCATTAGTAACATTGGTGCAGGAAAGGGCAGAGAGCAATCAGTGGTAGATTTTAGTACACATGTGTAAAGAAAACCTTTCTTAAGTATGTAAATCCTACTTGCATGTTGACAAGTGGCGAACAACACAATAGTAGTTTTGTTGCTTCATTGACCCTAATGTTCAGTGATATTTGTAGCTCTTTTGAGTTCTGCTGCTGCTGCACCTTGCTCCTGTGTAGATACTTGCTGCAATACCATGTATTTTTAATGCTCCCATAATGGTTTTAGGTGGAAGGAGAGAATGAGGATCAAGCTTCCACAGATCAGACCTCTGCAGCAAAGACAAAAAGCATATTCATTGCTCAGAACGTGGCCAGCCTGCAAGAACTTGGTGAGAGTCAGCTTTTTAGGATCTGGGAAGGGATGAAAGAGGAAATGTCTCTCCAGTGTTACATCCTACTGCTCTGAATGGGAAAGATCTGAAGGTTTTACTCATTTGCGTGCTGAAGGAGGTTGTGGCTGTGATGTAGTTTTCTTCATTGCAGAGGAGATGAGCTCGGTATATTTATATGCAGTCACTGGGTTTTGCAGGGTAAATAAGGTGGACCATATAAAATAGCTTATGGGATGGATTATTGAGGAATTGTGAATTAGGACCTGGTATGTCACATAACGTACACAGAGCTTTGTGACACCCGTTACGAGTGTGGCTGAAAACTTCACCTGGTTTATGTGTTGTAAATTAGGCTTTATCCTGTTACCTCATCTGTGATGGTATTTTCTCACCACAAAGAATAATTAAGTCAATTACTGGTGACCATTAGATCTGTTCTTAGAAGCATTTTCACAGATCAGTAAAAATAACACTTCTGGGGTTTTTTTTTGGTAGGTGGCTCTGAAAAACTGCTGAGAGTGTGCCTGAACCTCCCCTACTTCTTGCGCTACATCAATCGGTTTCAGGATGCAGTGTCAGCCAACTCATTCTTCATTATGCCAGCCACAGTGGCAGATGCCACTGCTGTTCGGAATGGGTAAGTGTCTGTCCCTGCTCTCCTCTGGTGGATGCTGGGTACACTGTGAGAGAAAATAACTGTGCTGGCCATGCAGCATCATAAGTGCTGCTCCTGTGAGGTCTCAAATGTCCAGCAGGACCAGGGCAGTGATTGTCCCCCTGCACTAGGCACTGGTGAGGCTGCACTTCAAATCCTGTGTTCAGTTCTTTTCCCCTCGCTAGAAGAGAGGCATTGAGGTGCTGGAGCAGGGCCAGAGAAGGGCAACGGAGCTGGTGCAGGGCCTGCAGCACAAGTGTGATGGGGAAGGGCTGAGGGACCTGGGGGGTTCAGTGTGGAGAAGAGAAGGCTCAGGGGGGACCTGGTCGCTGCCTACAAGTGCCTGACAGGAGGATGGAGCCAGGAGGGGCTGGGCTCTGCTCCCAAGGAACAAGGGATGGGACAAGAGGAAACGGCCTCAAGCTGCACCAGGGCAGGTTTAGATGGAGCTGAGGAACAATTCCTGCCCCAGAGGGTGCTCAGGCATTGGAACAGGCTGCCCAGGGCAGGGCTGCAGTCACCATCCCTGCAAGTGTTCGCACCCAGTGGAGACGAGGTCCTCAGTGCCATGGGTTAGTGGTGGCCTTGGCAGTGCTGGGGTGAGGGTTGGACTGGATGAGCTTAAAGGGCTTTTCCAACCCAGTTAACTCTTATGATTTAATGTGTACATTGCATTGCTGAACCTTAGCATGTGTCGTTACTGTAGATTTCATTCGCTGGTAATAGATGTGACCATGGCACTGGATACTCTGTCTCTGCCTGTACTGGAGCCCCTGACACCCACACGTCTCCAAGATGTGACTGTTCTTGCTCTCAGCTGTCTCTATGCAGGTGAATGGATTTCCTGTATTTTCTCTGGAGCTTTAAGTCACTCTTGCTTTTGTTCTGCATTGTTCCCTGCACATTGGAGGCTCAGCCTACAAGAACCTTTATTTCTCCTGAATTTGAAAGCTGTGCAGCATACTGTGCACTGTGGTGACTGGGTTCAGATGGAAATTGTTATAGTAGCACTGAAATTCTGGTGTATTATGCAAATGTTCTTGTCAATATCTGTGACAAACACCGACTCAACGTTCTCTTAATAGCCTGTGATTTCTGCTCTTTTAATGTTCAGAGCATGATGTATTTTTGCAGTGCTTATGGCTTTAGCTTACTTGGTTATATCTCCCAAATCAACCATGTTTCCCAGGAGTGGTTTCATACACCATCATCCTGAGTGCTTGGTTGAAATGAGTAACATTTTAAAGAGATATGGGAGTAGAGTAGGAAGATTGCCTTAAAAATGGCATTGAATTCCATGGTAAAACATCTTTAATTGTTCTCGTGTGTTTCTGTAGGGTAAAACTTTACTCCTCTGAGGGTAGTTCAGAAGGATCTTCAATCTGTCAGCTGTAATATGGAGTATTCCCTGCTCCATCAGGTCTATGGGCATGTTTGAGACTGCTTGGTTTAATATGCAAAGTAGGAACATTGACTCCTAAGTCTGGCTCTTAGTAAGAATGTGACCTCTTGTTTTGAATCAGGTGTGAGTGTGGCCACTTGTATGGCCATCCTGCACGTGGGTAGCACTCAGCAGGTACGAACGGGGTCAACAAGTTCCAAAGAAGAAGATTATGAAAATGATGCTGCTACTATTGTACAGAAATGTGTAAGTAGATGAAAGAGTATGATTATTGTTTCATTCTTAGCAAGCGAAGTGCAGAGTTTGTATTCCTTTGGACTGCAATACATAGCTGTTATTTCTAGGCATTAGACTTGCTGATAAAAGAAGTAGTGAGGTGGTGGCTAATTGTAGAGGGAAAATACAATTGTATTTGGAGCTTAACTTAAAATATTACCATTGCTTTGGATTTATTTGCAGCTTGAAATCTATGAAATGATTGGACAAGCCATCAGCAACTCACGCCGTGCAGGGGGTGAGGTAAGATTTCTGTCTTGGGAAGCTCTTTCAGTGGTTTTGTGCATGTATATTTTGGCATTTGGATTGACACTATTTTGTCTTTTTTGATGCCTTTTTCCTCCCCTTCCCCCTTCATTTTTGGCACGATAGCATTATCAGAACTTCCAGCTGCTTGGGGCTTGGTGTTTGCTAAACAGCCTCTTCCTCATCTTGAACCTCAGCCCCACGGCCTTGGCTGATAAGGGAAAGGAGAAAGATCCATTGGCTGCTCTTCGTGTCAGAGACATTATTGCTCGCACTAAGGAGGGCGTTGGGTCTCCCAAGCTAGGACCTGGGAAAGGGTATGTAAATACCTCTCTGAAGTCGTCACTGTCCATGTGCCTAGCCATGCCCAGCAAGCAGGTACCATGGAGTCTTCTTGGTTTCTGAAGTTGTATCCCCAGTTGTAATTCAAGGGAATCAATTCTTGATTCTTGGGAAAAAGCCACTGTCTTCTTCAGTTTAGCAAAGTAGTCAGTACACTCAATATATTCCTCTCCCTCCCTTTGAAATTAGAATCATAGAATCCCAGACTGGTTTTGGTTGGAAGGGACCTTCAAGCTTGTCCAGTTCCAAAACCCTGCCATGGGCAGGGACACCTTCCACTACAGCAGTTTGCTCCAAGCCCCGTCCAACCTGGCCTTGAACGCTGCCAGGGATGGAGCAGCCACAGCTTCTCTGGGCATCCTTTTCTAATACCTTCATAGGAAGAATTTTTTCCTAATGTAATCTAAATCTATTCTCTTTCATTTGAAACCATTCCCCCTTGACCTATCACTACATGTCTTTGTAAAAAGGATTTCTTGTAGGCCCTTAAGGTATTGAAAGGCCTCAATAAGGTTTGTTTCCTTTATGTTTCTGTAGGCATCAAGGGTTTGGTGTTCTGTCTGTGGTGCTGGCAAATCATGCTATCAAATTGCTGTCATCACTCTTTCAAGATCTGCAAGTGGAGGCATTGCACAAGGTACGTAGGTAACATATACATTCTTGTGGAACATTTTGCCTTCTCCACTGAAACACACTTTAAATTCTCTTCTCACTGCCATCCTCCAGGGCTGGGAGAGCGATGGGCCACCAGCAGTGCTGGATATCATGGCTCAAAGCACGTCGATCCAGAGGATTCAGCGGCTGATAGATTCTGTACCACTCACTAACTTGCTGCTGACTTTGCTGTCTACTTCCTACAGAAAGGTAGGAACCGGCTGGAGAGCTTCTGTGGCTGGGGCACTCCTACTAGGTGCCATCCACATGGAAAAAACTCACTTTACAAGCTGTGGCTGTGCTAAGAACTTAGAATTCTTCTTTCAGAAGCTGTCAACTGGAGCCTCTCTCTTTTTTCAGAGATGTAAAGTTGACAGACTTGTTCTAGTCAATTTTTTTTCTGTAAGCTCAGTGGTATTTGTAAGTTTAGGAGGGGGTGAAAAGGCTGCATTCAAAACAGATGCTTTATGTTAGAGCTGTTACTTGAAGTGTTGCTTACAAGCTTGGCATAGATTATTTGTTTTCCACCATCCCATGATATTTTTAATACAACTTCAGGGGAAGAAGCCTTGAAAACCTGTTCATAACTTAGTTGAGACAAATTTGCTAGAAGAAAATGAAGATGTGTTAGGAATTTACTGTTGTTTTCAAATTCTTATGATTCATCCTAAAATTAATTGCTCTGTTATTCTCCCAAGGCTTGTGTCTTGCAGCGTCAGAGGAAGGGCTCCATGAGCAGTGATGCAAGTGCCTCCACTGATTCTAATACTTACTACGAGGATGATTTTAGCAGCACTGAGGAGGACAGCAGCCAAGGTAATAGCAGCAAGCAACTCAAGGCAGGATTTTAAACCGTCTTTCAGATTGAGTGGAAACCTGGCTGTTGCCTTCTTGGGCTGGAATGACATTTAGTGCTGAGAATGTGAACCAATTTGTAAGAGCTGTTTGGCAGAGGCAACGCTGACTGTGCTTTTTGGTGTAAACGAAAGGCTGAGTGCCTGGGATTTGGCAGTATTTGCTTGAGTGGAAATAACTTCTTGTAAGCTCTTGTTGGACTCATGTAAAAGTGCTTAGCCTTGTGATTTGGGAAGGAAAAATGAAGGTAGCAGATGCCTTAAACTGAAACTCTTTTCTAAGCTGAGTAGTTTTCATAAGGTATGTAACATTGCTTATAACATTATGCTTTTGTTTTTCCTGCCTCCTGTGTTAGATGAGGACAGCGAACCAATCCTTGGGCAATGGTTTGAGGAGACAATCTCTCCAAGCAAAGAGAAGGTGGCCCCACCACCCCCTCCTCCACCACCCCCTTTGGAGAGCTCCCCTAGAGTGAAAAGCCCAAACAAACAGAGTGCTGGAGAGAATGGGAACATCCTGGCCAGCCGCAAAGATCCAGAGTTGGTACGAGATGGTCTTGAGGCTTAGTGAAATAACTGCTGTGCTGTAGTGTTGTTGCCTTGTCAGTGGCTGGGTATGTTGACAGGGAAGATAAATGTGAGGTATTTTAAGTGCATTGCTGATGGAGAATCAATGACTGTCTTGCCTTTGAAGAAAGATATTTCCTCTCCTCTTCTGTAAGGTGGAATAGTATTCGTTACTGCAAGGGAAGCAAAGCCTTGAAGATAGTATCTATTTGGGTTACAGAGACAGAGGGAAAATGAGGGCAGAAATATAAGCAAAATGACTTGCTGATAGAATGCTTTTAGTCCAACTCCATGAGGGAAAGACAAAAATAGATACTGCAGTGGAGGAGAGCCTTACAACCTTGTCAAAATCTGTCATTAGTCCTGATACAGATACAGGACATTGATTGCAGTGAGCTGGCTGTCAGTGAGTAAACCTGTACTCTGGGGTGGAGTTAGGGGACTTGATCTGTTTTGCTGGTGGTTTAGTTTTGGTTTAAGGTTGCTTCTATGGTGTGTTTCTCCTTTCTTTCCAGTTTTTGAGCCTAGCTTCAAACATTCTGAACTTCATCACTTCTTCTATGCTGAACTCCAGGAACAACTTCATTCGCAACTACCTGAGTGTGTCTCTTTCGGAGCAACACATGGCTACACTGGCCAGCATCATCAAAGAGGTGGATAAGGATGGGCTAAAGGGTGAGTGAGCAGAGCTTCTGTGTTAGAGAGCACAGACTGTAGGAGCTAGAGGTGTGTGTTTTCTTAGTTTCATGTGGAAATTTGAAATGTAAGAGCACCAACAGTAAATGGCTTGCTCCCTGTCTTACAGGCACATCTGATGAGGAGTTTGCTGCTGCCCTGTATCACTTCAACCATTCCTTGGTGACCTCTGATCTTCAGTCCCCTGCTTTGCAGGTAAGTGTGATTGCATATATATAAATAAAAGGAAGAAGTGTTGGTGTCTGTTACTCTCTCTACACAGATTTTCCACACCTGGATTAGTGTGCTGATGATTCCATTTAGCCCTAGAGTATATTCTTTTGCAAACAGAACTTGGAATATTTTGGCTCCTTTGAGTTGAATGACCTTTGCAGTCATCCAGTCCAAAACATCCTGCAGAGTGTAAACTTAACATCCAGAGTTCACATTAATCCGCTGAACTTTGAAGCTGATGAAAGCTGAAAAGGCAATGAGTTTGTATATTTTGCTTCGGAGAGTTGCCTCTATCCATGCATTTATCAAGAGGGATTCCTGCAGATTTGCTTTGCTGTCAGGACTGATGCCAAAAGGCTTTGGAATTCTCTCAGGAGAGAATCAAATTAATCCTTTTGCTTTCATGTGTTGACTTCGTAGCCTCTAGGTTTATTTGCTAGGTCATGGGCTGACCTGACTTAATACTTTAAGTAGAAGTATAAATCTGCTTGCAATCAGTGAATTCAATCCCTATACTTTTTGTTGACTACTGTACATTTTCTACCATATTTAAAATTCTTTGTTGGTTTGTGGTTTTTGTTTTAAAGCAGTTGCACTTCTCAGAAATCTGCCTTTTTACTATATTTGACTGGTCACAGCAATGCTGCTTCTTTTCAAAGAGGTCGTCTTCTGAATTCTTAGATACTGAACATAGTAGAAGAAACAGTCTTGCAATGATACTGCAGGAAATGAGTAGAGCTCATTAATGCTATTTTTTATGCATTGGTGTTAAAGTTGCAAGGTTATTGTGGTTTAGGGGGCACAGTGACAGCATTGAGTGTCCCTTGGTAGCTGTGCCATGTGTTGGAGATACGAAAGGGATTGCTGTGTGAACCCCTGTGAGTTCCAAGGGCCCTGCTGTTTGTTCACATCGTGCTTTTAAAGCATCAGACAGGACTTGCCTCTACTCAACAAGTCTGTTTTGTTCCAGAATACACTTCTCCAGCAGCTGGGAGTTGCTCCTTTTTCGGAGGGCCCGTGGCCTCTTTACATCCACCCTCAGAGTTTGTCGGTGCTCTCGCGACTGCTCCTTATTTGGCAGCATAAAGCCACTGCCCAGGGAGATCCTGATGTTCCAGAATGCCTTAAAGTCTGGGAAAGGTGAGATAATTTTATGTTGAGCTGAAAGTCACCTCTTCAATCTCTTATTTTCTATCAAGGGAAAATTCTCTGGGACCAGCATAACCAGTGTGTGTGTTCTCTGAGTGGGGATGGTATGTGATGCTGGGAGGAGCAGAGGGTCTGTCTGTGTATTGCTGAAGTCCTTCACTTAGAGCGTAGGAAGTGAAACCTAGGATCAGGATTTAAGTGGGTAGAGCCTGAACCCTGGTTTTAAAAAGGGAATGTCTCATTTCAGCAGGTTTCTGGTAAGTTCTGTTATGATGGTGCCAGGGTCTTTCCTTTCTGCCATAGTGTGTAAGTCTCTGCTAGGGTTTAGCTGACTTAAAGTGAGCAGTCTTTCCTGTGGGAACGGGTTTGCATTTCTCTTTCTTCTTTTGAATGGGTGTTCATGTTTTCCATCAAATTTAGGTTTTGATGTTTGCAGCGTCTCATTCCAATGCTTCATGTAATGATAATCAGTGAAATTGCCAGTGTTAGAATAAGCAGAAAAGGGAACTGATGAAAATGTTTCTCTAACCTACAGTTAAGAAGGATCTAAGCCAAGAGAAAAGTGAACTTCATAAACTTCCTCTCCTGTTGTCAGGTTTGTGGGCACACTGAAGCAGAATGCCTTGCAGGGGACTCTTCCCAGTGACACAGAAGATCTGAATGTTGAACATCTCCAGTTGCTGCTGCTTATTTTTCACAATTTCTCTGAGAGGGGCCGCAGATCCATTGTGATGCTCTGTATCCAAACAATTGTGGAGCTGACAGCGAACATGGATACCCAGCAATCTTCTGTCCCACTTCTCGTGGCACGTCTCCTCTTGGTGTTTGACTACCTGCTCCATCAGTATTCTAAGGCCCCTGTGTACCTCTTTGAACAGGTAGGATTTGATGTCATGTCCTGGCTATTTAATTGGTCACCCAGCAGAAATGTGTAACAGGCAGTTACCTGGTGTGTTCTGGTCTCTTCATGGCCTTTAGGGACTAAATTGGGTTCAATGTTGTTACCAGCCTTTGGAATTATAATGTGTGATTAAACTACAGTTGCAGCAGGTTCTGTTTGAGTGTGAATTCGTGGTGTAACTCCTGTCCTAATGAATCCTGGTAAGGGTAGGATCAATGCCCCATCTTATCTTTCAAAATCTTGAGTATTTGGGTATTGTGGAAAACCTTGTACACCATGTCCTTGCTTTAACTTTTCACTGTTGAGGTTTTGGTCACTGTTGTCATTAATGGCATGCTGGTGTTTTGTGTATGGCTTTTCCACTTGGTAGAAGCTTGACCATTGATTTTAGCTGTTCAGTCCAGAATAAAAATCATCAGAGAGGACAAGAGGTGGTGGGTTTTAACTTAAACAGGGGAAGTTCAGGTTAGATATAAGGCAGAAGCTCTTTCCTGAGAGGGTGGTGAGGCACTGGAACAGGTTGCCAAAGGAGTGGTAAATGCTTCGTCCCTGTCAGTGCTCAAGGCCAGGTTGGACACAGGGCCTTGGAGCAAGCTGCTCTAATGCAAGGTGTTCCTGCTCGTGGCAGGGGATTGGAACCGGATGATCTTAAGGTCCTTTCCAACCCAAACCATTCTAGGAGATGGGGTCTAGAGCTTCCCTTGGAAGCTGGGAATGATTATGTCTTACCAACAGGGATGTGGTGTTGGTGATTGTATTTCGCCCCCATCCCTAATGACAAAGATGCCATGGGTGTTTTTTTGTCTGTGTTTTTGAACTTAGGTACAATACAATTTGCTGACTCCACCCATTGGGTGGGTGAGTGGATCCCAGGAGAGCAGCAGGCGAACATCAGTCCCACTCTATCACGGGTTTAAAGAAGTGGAAGAAAACTGGACCAAACACTGTTCATCAGGTAAGAAAGAAAACATAAGGAATTTTTGATAGCCAGATTTGCTTTTACAAATAAAGGAGTGCCCTGGTGCAGCTTTTCCCACTTCTAATGGGTATAGCTATGTAATGCATGCAAAAATGCAAGAAAAGTTGTATTAAATAAAATTATTGTCATCTAGGACTATGCTACAAGTAACTGAAAATAAATATGGATTTATTGTACCAGGATTGTAGGAGTAGGAAGACCTTGGTTGCATGTACCATAGGTTACAGCACATATAGCATGCTATGAAGCCAGCTTAGTAGAATCTGGTAGTAGCCTTAATGTGAAAGATGGTGGAGATAGAGGAGAGAGTATAACACAATACTGCCTGATTAAAACCATCACTTTGAACATTATTTTCTGTCCTCATGCTCCAGATGCAGCTCCACAGCCCAGGTTCTACTGCATCCTATCTCTAGAAGCTTCTGAAGACGATCTGAACCGTCTGGATAGCATGGTATGGGAATCTCTGTTTTAAAGACCTTTCTGTGAGCCTTTATGGGCCGTGAAGATTTGATGAGTGCCAGAAGAAAAGAGAAAGAAAGGAAAGAAGGAAGGAGCTGATGAATCAGAGACACCAGAAGTTTTTTCACTAAGTGGAGAAAGGAGTAGTGGCTGGATAGGATAATATGGGTTTTCTTTATGCACCTAATTTCAGGGAAATCAATGTGCAAAATCTATGAAGACGTGTTGGACTGCTTGTAGTAGTGTTTGTGATTCAAATGTGTATGCTATAATAGAGCCCTATCATCTCCATGCTGATTTTTCAGTGCTGCTGAAGCATCTGCAACAAAGACACATGGCATTAGAATTATTTTCCCATAATTCAGTTCCATGTTTTTCCTGGGTTTTGTTTCCTCAGTAAATTTGTTGCCATCGAGGTTATGGCCTTGCTTCATACATGCTCCCTTATAACCAGTTCATTGGTATTCTGACTGGGGAGAGAGATTCCTAACGGAGCTAGCTTCCTGAAGTTTTCTTTTCATAGCTTTGGTTTGTGGGTGTTTTGATCACTTGAGAGCCTGGCTGTGTATAAACACAGAGCTGTGCAATTTGCAAAGCAAGGATGCTGACGCATCATCTCTTGCAGGTTTGTGAGGTTCTTTTCTCTCGGACTACAAAGTATGATGAGCTTTACACAGCCCTGACTTCCTTACTTGCTGCTGGGTCACAGTTTGATACACTCAGGAGGAAAGAGAACAAAAACGTCACTGCACTGGTAAGACTATTGCTGTAACATTGTTTGTTTTCAAACTATCGAGCAAAGTGTTTAGCCAAAGTGTTTTGGACAGTGGTTGGAGTAATGAGGAACTTAAAAATCCCCTAGCTAAAGGTAGTGTGCAGGTAGGATAAAGGTAGTATGTATGGTGGTGGTACATCTTACACAACTCAAAACATGTTTTAGACTTTCTCTGTGTCCTGGTAATGCCAGGAGGTCTGGCTAGAATATGATGAAGCAGAGAAAAAAAGATTATATAATCTTTCATTTTTCTTTTCTCCTCTTTGTTGCATAATTTCGTAGAATGGTTTGGGTTGGAAAGCTCGTCTGTTTCCAACCCCCTGCCATGGGCAGGGATGCCTCACACTAGACCGTGTCACCCAAGGCTCTGTCCAACCTGACCTTGAACACTGCCAGGGATGGAGCATTTACCACTTCTCTGGGCAACCCATTCCAGTGCCTCACCACCCTCATAGTAAAGAGCTTCTTCCCTATATCTAACCTGAACTTCTCCTGTTTAAGTTTAAACCCATTCCCCCTTATCCTGTATGACACAAACTCAACTCTGGTATGTGTTCATCTCATGTGGCACATCTACAGGAGTCTGGAGTCTTTGAGGGCATCATTTCAATAGCTGTAATGGTAGAAACTGCAATCTTTCTTCCCTAATTCGTCCAACTGTTGCTTCTGTTTAGGAAGCCTGTGCACTTCAGTACTACTTCTTGATACTGTGGAGGATATTAGGGATTTTGCCTCCATCCAAAACCTACATGAATCAGTTAGCCACGAACACACCAGAGATGAGTGAATGTGATATTTTACACACGCTGCGCTGGTCTTCCCGACTGCGAATCACGTCTTACGTCACATGGATCAAGGTACAGCTCATCTTTATAGGGGTGTTTTGGGATGTTGTTGACAGTAGGAATGTCAGTGTCTTGTTTTTTCCGTGCTGACTGCGTGTGGGATTCGTTACATGGGTGCGATGGTGAGAAATGGGGACTTGTGGCCATGGTCTCTAAGGCTTTCTAGCCTGGTTATTGTTGGAGTGGTTAATTATAGAGCACTTCTGAAGTGTGATGGGTCTATTTTTGGCATCTGTAGGATCACCTTACCAAGCAGGGCATGAAAGCTGACCATGCTGCTTCTCTGATTGAAATGGCCTCCAGCAAGTGCAGCTCAGTGAAGTATGATGTGGAGATAGCAGAGGAATACTTTGCTCGACAGGTAAAGGTGGTGTGAATGCAATTGTGTGTACGGAGCCTCTGGTTTTGTGGGATGAGTTGCACTTACTGTTCCATCCCTTTGTATTTTAAGATCTCTTCTTTCTGTGGTGTTGACTGCACGACTATTCTCCAACTGCACGAAGTTCCCAGTTTACAGTCCATTTACACCCTTGATGCTGCAATTTCCAAGATTCAGGTTTCTCTAGATGAGCACTTTTCCAAGCTAGCTGCAGAGACTGATCCACACAAGTCTTCAGAGATAACCAAGAACCTCCTCCCTGCTACGCTGCAGCTTATTGACACTTATGCTACGTTTACCAGGTATGCTCTTAGGATCACTAATAGTGATCTTGTGTGCATGGGGCTTTCTTTGCATTTGGTTTGTTGTTTTCTTAGAGTTAGATGCCTTTTTATTTTATAGTCCCATATAATTACTCTTAACTTAGGTCCTCTAGAGTGTTCATTGTTTTAAAAGAAGAATTAAAAGTAGCTCCTCAAGCCAAGTTATTGTTTCTAAGCATACCCTTCTTGTCTGATCTTTTAAGGCTTGCTTGCAAAGCCAAAGATGAAACCTTCTCTTACCACTCTCTAGTATAGTGCCACTTAAGGTTATTTCAATATTGAGACTGTCAGACCATCAAGAAAGAGAGGGGGCTTAATTCTTACATTAAAAGTCTGAAGTCTTCCAAGCTCTCATTAGAACCTAGGTAGAAGAAAGCAAAAGTAAATGAGCTTTTTCTTTTGAGTGGGCACTTGACCTGGTGAGTAGCTTAAAGAAGATAAAAGCCCAGAACTCCCTTAATGGTGAACTAAGAACACAAAGCGTGGGGCAGAACTCAGGAGTTTGCTTTATCTGTCACTGTATTGACACATTTAGTTCTGAAATGCAGAGCTGATCCTGAAATGAATCCTTTCCATCCTGAATGCAGATCTTACCTGCTACGGAGCCTCTCTGAAGAGGGCTCCACTGAGAACAAGCCCTCTGAGGAGAAGCTACGAGGTTATGCTGCTGTCCTGGCCATTGGATCCAGCCGTTGCAAGTCCAATACTCTAGGTGAGAGTACTGGGTGGTTCAGATTTCCTCCTCTGTGTAGGTAAAGCTTTGTACAGTGCTGCAGACATTCAGCTTCAAAGCTGTATGCTGGCTAACATGTTCTCAACCATGTTCAGAAGAGTGCATTATCCTGTCAGCAGCAAACTGGGAAGCTTTTTCCTTTAATATCCCAACAACTGAAAAAGTTGGGCAAACCTTGGAAGAGTAACTATCCTGTGGGCTTATCTGGATTATTGAAACGCTTTTGTAACCATGTTGGTGCTCTGGTGGGAAGGGGAATTATGAAATACTGATATGTTGAAGACTGCTGCAAATGAGTATTTTTGCTATGTTTGCTGTTATTTTAATGAAGTAGAAGAAGCTGGGACGCTCTTGCAAGCTTAGGGATAATTTTGACTTGTCAAAAGCATAAAACAGTAGAATTACACCTCAGTTTAGCTCCAGCTGTGTCTTGAATAATGATCTAGTTTAAATAGTGTTGCAGAAGCATTCCAGTTGTCAACAGGACCCATGAAATGACTCGGTGATTACGATTCTGTATTAACTGCAGGTCCAACACTTGTTCAGAACCTGCCATCAGCTGTGCAGACTTTATGTGAATCATGGAACAACATTCATACAAATGAGTTTCCAAACATTGGCTCGTGGGTGAGTCCAGCTTTGTGGATGGATCTGGTTTGATCCTAACTCAGTAAATCCCTGGGAATGGTGGGCAGGGTGTCCTTCTGTTATCAGATGTTCTGATGTTTGTGTGTGTCTCCATCCTTAGCGCAACGCCTTTGCAAATGACACAATCCCAGCAGAAAGCTACATCAGTGCAGTTCAGGCTGCTCACCTCGGTACTCTCTGCAGCCAAAGTCTACCTCTTGCAGCTTCCCTAAAGCACACCCTTCTCTCCCTGGTCAGGCTCACTGGGGATCTCATTGTGTAAGTGGTGCTTTTTAGATGACATTCTTGCTGTATCTGTCTGTCTGCTCCTGGGAATGTCTGTGTTCATCAGGCCCTTCAGGTGCAATGCTTAATGAACTGGTGTTGTGTTTGGGACTAAGTCTTTAATGGAGTTACTCTTCGTTTACTAGAAGTATCATTTATTTAAAATTCAATGGATGAAAGACAGCCTTTCTGTCTTGATTTGCTATCTCTAGGAGTCAAACTCCCTGAGAGAAACCTTTAATACAGATTTCCAAATAGGAACTTGAAGAAACTGGGGTATAAACTGAGACAATTTGGGTCTAACAAATTCATTTGTGTTTGGTTATCGTTCACTTGTGTGATGTTTTCAAAGCACAAAGAAAATACGAAATGAAAGGATTTATTTCCAAGGACTTACTGTTAAGATACTCTGAAACAGAAAAATAGTTGTTGGTGCTGCAGATGAGTCCAAAGCCATAGGAAGTGTTGAGTGAATGCCTAGGAAAACATTGTACCTGTTCATATGCAGAAGAAATGTGTAGTTTTCTAAGTGAGGACTGTGTGTTTATCCCACCTTTCTAAAAAGGGTTTTATCTCTGACTTCCCTCTAGACTTGTGCCTTACTTGTGTAACTTCTCATGTATGCAATAAGGACGTTCTGTGATACATCATGCAGAGAATTAACTTGATTGCTCTTTCTTTTCAAGCTGGTCAGATGATTTGAACCCACCACAGGTGATTCATTCCCTCTTGCCCCTCCTTTTGGAGACCAGCACAGAGAGTGTGGCAGAAATAAGCAGCAACTCCCTAGAAAGGATCTTGGGCCCTGCAGAATCTGATGAATTCCTGGCACGAGTTTATGAGAAATTGATCACAGGATGCTATAACATATTGGCCCATCACTCTGATCCAAACAGGTAACGGGCTGGGTGGCTGTGGTTCTCTTCCAACAAAACTATATACAAAGAATTACTACAGTCTGTTTAAATATCAGTGTCTGTTCTTGAACAGCACAATACAAAGGCGAAAAATCAGCTTATTTTTATCTCTTGAAGACTTCTGTATTTGCAGACTAAAAGTAGGAGATGTTTTATTTCATTACCAGTTTTCAGCACTGCCATTCAGGCAGTGGGGATTTGAATCATCTCTTGTAAATCTGGATGGAGCATGTTTCTATCTGGATAGTTTTGCATTTAAGCAAATAGAAAATTATGGAAATACAAGCAGGAAATCAAAGCTGAAGAGACTGACCTAACTTGCTTTATATTCCTTTGTTTCTGTTCTTGCTGTTTGTAAGGATGGCTAATCCCTGCTTTATCACAGCAAACTAGGCAGATTTTGGCTTCCCACCCCTTACTCACTGTCTGTATAGAAGGAATAAGCTTGGTGCGCAGATGTTGATTCTACCCATCTGAAACATAAAACCATTAGGCATGATGATGTTGCATCTTTTCAACACTGATCCTCTCCGAGTATTCAGAGGGAGAGGTACTGAGCCTTCTGGTAGAGGATGTAAATGTAATTGGATTTTACTTGCAGAGTGCTTTGTGGAGTGGGGATGAACGCAGGAGAATAAGGGAGGAGTAACACTAGAAGGGACTTAAAGTGTAAAAAGAACAGCCATTTATAGGAATTTGTCATGTGAGCTGTCTGAAAGGTCTAGGTCATTCTAGGTTTCTGACTGCAACTGTGCATCATGTGCCACCTTTTTCCTGAGCACTAGGTGGATTTACTGTTCATGGATGGTTGGAAGGAGAGCTGCTTTCAGTGAGCAGAAAATGTATTGGACTTGTATTAGCAAAATGATCACTTCTTGACTCTCGTAGTTGTTGAAATTGCTCTTCAATATTCTGATTTCATTTGTACCTTTTGGTTCTCAGTGGCCTGGATGAGTCCATCCTGGAGGAATGTTTGCAGCATCTGGAGAAGCAGCTGGAGAGCAGCCAGGCCCGAAAAGCCATGGAGGAATTCTTTTCAGAAAGGTGAAGTATTCCTGAAATTTGTAGCCCGGGAACTTGATTATTCTTCCTTTTCCTCTCAGCTTGTCACTGTCAGCACCTAAGGGATGTTAATGCTATTGCACAGGAGCCATGTAGAGATAGGATACCCTGCACACAGTGCAGGAGAGTGTGAAAAGACTTTCTGTGTGGGAGGGGACCTAAGTCTTTGTCACTGCAAATAAAATATTCAGTGAGTCCTCACAGTGAGTGGGCACCAGTGGGGAAACTTGTCAAAGGCGTTAGAAGGAGGGGTTGAGAGGTGCTGGTCTGATCAAGCTGCAAATTCCCAAGTTCTCTCAGTGCTTCCGCAGGCAACAGGGTGATAATTTCAAGGGTGGAGGTGGGGTGTTGGCCTGACTTCAAAGTATGAAGACAAATTGTGGTGGAAACACATAGCACAACACAGTGTTCTGACAGATGTGAGGGTGGATTGGAGGAAAGGTTTTCTCTGTTAGAAAGCCAACCGTTGTCTGCTTGTTCTCTCTACGTGTTCAACAGCTCAAAACAGAAGCAGTGTGGCTGTACTTTAGTAACATGGAAGGGAAAAGCAGGCAAGAATATCCTGAATTTTGGTTTGGAAACCAGTACAGGCCCTTCTGTGACTTGACATGTGGAGAATACTGGTATGCAGTTCAGGAGCTCATGAGATTCACAAGGTTGAGTCTGAGTTAAGGGTTCATTGTTTGTCTGAAAGCACTTCCTGTGGCTTGACTGCTGAGCACTGTTAATCCAAACCATTGCCAGTCTTAAACAGGAGGGCTGATACAAGGGCAAGTGTAAAACCAGGAACAGGTTGTATTTTACAAAGCTGACTAAATTTTTCCTATCCATCCAGTGGAGAACTGGTCCAGATCATGATGGCCACAGCCAATGAAAACCTCTCAGCCAAGTTTTGTAACAGGGTGCTGAAGTTCTTCACCAAACTCTTCCAGCTCAGTAAGTGATTGTTGAATCTCTTCTGTCCTGCCTTTGTCCACTTTATACTGTTCTTGCAATAGACTGTGATGTGAAGGTGCTTGAAAGAAAAGCTGTAGGAGGAAGTGGAGTGACGGCCTCACACTTTAAATGGAAAGCCATCTTCAAACGCATTCATTGTGACATCTGTCACTCACCAGTCATTTTCTCTCCTAGCTGAGAAGAGTCCCAACCCCAGCCTGTTGAGACTTTGTGGCTCTTTGGCTCAGCTGGCTTGTGTGGAGCCTGTACGTCTCCAGGCCTGGTTAACCAGGATGACCATGTCCCCACCCAAAGATTCAGACCAGCTGGATGTTGTGCAAGAGAACAGGCAGCTGCTGCAACTCCTGACCACTTACATTGTTAGGGAAAACAGGTAGAGTACAACCTTTGTCATTTCTTTGGTGGGCTCGTCATTTCTTTTGTTCTTTAGATGTGCAGTGACTTGTGATTTGCTGATGGCTTCTTGTCCTCAGCTTTCAAATGAAGTGATGGGGAAGGCATTGGAGGTGTGGGGCTTATTTCAGTGGGTGATGTACCTGTCTTTGTTCTTCTTGATCAGCCAAGTTGGAGAAGGTGTGTGCACTGTTCTACTGAGTACTCTAATACCAATGGCAACAGAAATGTTGGCCAGTGGTGATGGCACAGGCTTCCCTGAACTGATGGTCGTAATGGCAACTTTGGCTAGTGCAGGACAAGGTGCAGGACACCTCCAGCTTCACGGTGCTGCTGTTGACTGGCTGGGCAGATGGTAAGAGCCAACTGTGAGCTGCTGGTTGTTCATTTGCAGCACTGAATTTGGGGACAGAAGTTCATGCTTACTGATAACACACTCATTTTTAGTTTATTTGGAATTATTTTATTATTGGAATATAAAGTGTCTGAGAGAGACTGATCTCTGTGTGTGTGTGTGTGTCCCAAGAACAGCCATATGTTTTGTCTTTTCCCCTCTTGAATGGTTTAATTCTTGTATGCCTTTCCTGTTGTTAATTTAAAGCAAACTTAATGCTTGAAGCTACTGGTCAGAGTTTGTACTTCCAAAAGGCTGTAATGATCTTACCCACTGTTTCGTATTACAGCAAAAAATACCTGTCTCAGAAGAATGTGGTAGAAAAGATGAATGCAAACGTCATGCAGGGAAAGGTAAGACTGTTGCTTGACTTGCAGGAATTAATCTCAGGCAGGAGCTGTATCAGCTGTCCTGGTTTGGCTTCACAGAATCATGGTTAGAAAGGTTTAGGTTAGAAAGGACCTTAAGATCATCCAGTTCCAGGCCCCTGCCATGGGCAGGGATGCATCACACTAGAGCAGGTTGCTCCAAGCCTCATCCAGCCTGGCCTTGAACACTGCCAGGGATGGAGCATTTACCACTTCTCTGGGCACCCTGTGCCAGTGCCTCAGCACCCTCACAGGGAAGAATTTCTTTATATCTAACCTGAGCTTCCTCTGGCGTGGGAAGTTTTAAAGCAGTTTGGGCAGGGGGGACACTTGTATGCTCTTATGGGATCTAAGTATTACTTCTCATTTTCATTCATCTTGACCTCACAGCATGTGACTATCCTGGAGTGTACCTGCCATATTGTCTCTTACCTGGCTGATGTCACTAATGCACTGAGCCAGAGCAGTGGCCAAGGACCAAGCCACCTTTCTGTGGATGGAGAGGAGCGGGCGATTGAGGTGGATTCAGACTGGGTGGAAGAGTTGGCAGTGGAGGAGGAGGACTCTCAAGCTGAAGATTCGGTAGGCAATAGGCACAGTCAGTGCTGCAAATGACTTGAAGATTTATTTTGCAGCTTCCAAATCAGTATTCCTCAGGTTATAAATCAGGATTTTGTTGTTATTTATTCCTAATGTCAGACTGAGTGAAGAGCCTCAGCTGTCAGATCTGGGAGAGAATGCCTGTCACTTATTCATAGATCTGCTGACTTTGTAATATCAACAAAAGTTAAATTACTGTGATTTTTAGGCAACAAAAAGGAAGAAACGGAGTAAGATGGGTTTGTTCCTGTTGGTTTCTTTGTCAGTTACTAGCTTTTATATCAACAAGCAGCTTAGATCAGGCTTTTAAGTGCATTTGGGTGGGAAACCCAAGCTGTTATTAATGCATTCTTTAAAATTTGTTACCCAGAATATTTTTGCTACTGTTTTCTGATTCACTCTTTCATGTGCTACAAAATGTCACCATCTCCTCTCTCCATGTGGTTTGATACCAGCTGCCTTCTTTTAGCTAGGTGATGCTAAAACTTCCTAGTCTCAAAATGCCCATTTAGTGACTGAGGATCATGGTCTGTACTATGTACCTGTATTGTAGCTGCAGGTATAGCACCTTCCTGAAGCAGCTTTCTTCTTGACAGGATGAAGATTCCCTTTGTAATAAACTCTGCACCTTCACCATCACACAGAAAGAATTCATGAATCAACATTGGTAAGCAGCTCAAACTTGTGTTCACAATTCCAGCCTGCTGTTAGTGGCCATTGAGAAGGAAACAAATGCAGTCTGGGGGCCTTCATCAGGCTTTGGAATCTTACAACCCATCTGGCTTATTTTGTGCAGGTACCACTGTCACACTTGCAAGATGGTTGATGGGGTCGGTGTTTGCACAGTTTGTGCTAAAGTTTGCCACAAGGATCATGAGATTTCTTATGCCAAATATGGATCATTCTTCTGTGACTGTGGAGCCAAGGAAGATGGCAGTTGCTTGGTAAAGTGTCTGCATGTCAACATAGAAGCTGGTTTTAATGCAGGTTTAGTCTTTTGCAGAGGTTTCTGTTCCGCAGTAAGTTATGTCATGATACAGGCATGTAAGAGTGCTAAGGCTTGACAGCCTTGGCTTTATAATGAACCATATTAAGTTACAGTTTGCCTAGTGATGTATTTTGCACTAAATAAGTGCATTGCCAAATCCCTGTCCTGGTGACTGTTGGGATTCCACTTACCTTTACCCAACCTGCAAGTTAGCTTAAGCTATGCAGCAGTCAGCACCTTTTCCCTTATTTTCATGAGCAGCAAAGTAACTTTGTCTTAAATATGAATATTTTAATATTCGAGTGGAGGGTGGCATGCAAGACGCTATTCTGTTACTTCTTTAACATTACAGCAAAGAGAATTGCACTCTTATTTCTTTAAAATTACATTCATTTTGCTGCTATTACAGTCTGTATTCATTTAGTCAGTGGTAAAATCGAGTCCGGTTTGGGCTTTAAGCATTACTCTGTCATTCCCAGGCTTTGGTGAAGAGAACTCCCAGCAGTGGTATGAGCTCTACCATGAAAGAATCTGCCTTCCAGAGTGAGCCCAGGGTGCCCGAGAGTGTCATTCGACATGCCAGCACCTCCCCTGCAGAGAAAGCCAAGGTCACCATCAGTGAGGGGAAGGGCCCTGATGAAGAAAAACCCAAGAAGAGCAGCCTGTGTAGAAACGTTGAGGGCTGTCGAGAGGAATTGCAGTCCCAGGTATAGTTACCAGCTAGCTGTTAAGAGAAGATTGTTTGTGATGAGGATCTTGGGCAGACTGTTGATTATCAGCCAAGTTGCTCAGTTTTTCTGCTCTTCTTTATGATAAGTGGGATCATAAAAGTGGTGTCAGGCTGTAAGAAGTGGTTGATGTGTAGTTCTTATGAATACTACAAGCAGGAGCATCTTGTGCCTTATTTGTGTTCTCCGTTTCTTGTAGGCCAACTTCTCCTTTGCACCTTTGGTGCTGGAGATGCTGAATTTCCTGATGGATGCCATTCAGATAAACTTCCAGCAAGCTTCAGCCATGGGGAGCAGCAGTCGTGCACAGCAAGCTCTCAATGAGCTGCATACTTTGGACAAGTCAGTAGAAATGACAGATCAGTTGATGGTATGATACTAAAGGAGTGACTAGATCATGGATAGGTGGGATCACTTCTAAACAGAAAGAATTCAGTCATAGGTTGTTGTATGCTTTTACCCATGACCCAGGTCCCAACTCTGGGCTCTCAAGAAGGTGCTTTTGAGAACGTCCGCATGAACTACAGTGGGGACCAGGGCCAGACGATCCGGCAGCTCATCAGTGCCCATGTGCTGAGGAGGGTGGCCATGTGTGTGCTCTCATCCCCACATGGACGTCGGCAGCACCTGGCTGTGAGCCACGAGAAAGGCAAGGTGGGTTCTCTAATACTGCAGAGAATGTTGTTCAGTGCTCTGAGGCCGCTTCCTTTTCCTTGAAAATCCAACAAACAGAAGATGTGTGTTCTGTGATCTGGATCTTCTGTAAAGTACTATGTAGTTTATTCCTCAGAGAAGAGAGTTCTTGCAGAGGAAACCTGGTCTGGATACCTGACAGGAGGTTGTAGTGACGTGGAGTTGGTCTCTTCTCCCAAGAAACAAGGGATGGGACAAGAGGGAAACGGCCTCAAGCTGCACCAGGGCAGGTTTAGATGGAGCTGAGGAACAATTCCTTCCCCAAGGGGTGCTCAGGCATTGGAACAGGCTGCCCAGGGCAGGGCTGGAGTCACCATCCCTGCAAGTGTTCACACCCCATGGAGACAAGGCCTCAGTGCCATGGGTTAGTGGTGGCCTTGGCAGTGCTGGGGTAAAGGTTGGACTGGATGAGCTTAAAGGGCTTTTTCAACCTGGATGATTCTATAAAACAGTGAGAACTGTGTGAATACAGTTACAGAGCTGAAGTTGAAATGCCTTTTTACCTTGAGTTGTAAAGTTGAGTAACTAAGTTCATGTTGTTCTGCAGATCACAGTCCTTCAGCTCTCAGCATTGCTGAAACAAGCTGACTCCAGCAAAAGAAAACTGACTCTCACTCGTTTGGCATCTGCACCCGTTCCATTCACTGTGCTGAGCCTAACTGGAAACCCCTGCAAGGAGGACTACCTAGCTGTGTGTGGGCTGAAAGTGAGTGCTGTCAAACCCTTTTCTAGGCAGTTGGGAGCAGCAGCTCAAAACTAGATGAGGAGCTGGTGCAGAGCTGGCTCAAAAGGTCATGAATCATTTTCCTACTAGATAGATGGAGTAAAAGAAGCAGGACCTATATGAATAAGAGAATAAACGAGGCAGTGCCTCAAAATAGTACTACTTATTGTAATATAGGCCAGTTTTACTTAGGATGGGAGTCAGGGTTTCATCATGTGAAATTTAGTGTGTTAGAACTAGTCTGTAACAACTAGTGTTTTGTAGCAAGGACCTCTCTTTTGTATTCTCCCAACTTTAGGTTCAGCTTTCACAGTGCAGAATCCACAAATCCATTACTTAGCTAAGAAGTGGATGGATTCTGTGTGTTTGAGTCTGGGTTCTGGTTTTATTTTCTTTACAAACTTTCATGTCATTCATTTCAAATGCAGGAATTTTAGTCCTAACTCCATGAATCATGATTGGCACCAAGAGCAGTGCTGGCTTTAAAGTCTCATTCTTGGCTTCAGGTGTTCATAAACATTTTGTTCTAGTAAGTAACCAGATCTTTTCATTACTCCAGGACTGCCACGTGTTAACATTCAGCAGCTCTGGATCAGTCTCTGATCACTTGGTACTTCACCCTCAACTAGCCACTGGCAATTTCATCATTAAAGCTGTGTGGCTGCCAGGATCTCAAACAGAGCTTGCTATTGTGACTGCAGACTTTGTGAAGGTATGTTTGGTTATAAGCTGTTGATGAGAGGTCTTTCAGATACTAGAATCTGGATCTTTGTGGAGTTGGATGTGGAAGAATCGGGTAATATTCTTTGTTAGAAATAAACTGGAATTACAGATTTGTGGTGGTTGGCAAATGTTGTCATAAGAAAAAGCAAACCCAAGAACCCAAAGAGCAAGAAAACCCCTGTAACATCTAATAGGTGTTCCCTTGTCTCAGCTCTTGTCCATTTGCACTGTTTTGTATCATCAGAGTGAGTTTCTTTCATTCTTTCCACAGATTTATGATCTCTCTGTAGATGCCTTGAGTCCAACTTTCTATTTCCTTTTACCAAGTTCCAAAATCAGGGATGTCACTTTCCTTTTCAACGAGGAGGGGAAGAACATCATCGTGATCATGTCCTCTGCTGGGTACATCTATACCCAGCTCATGGAAGAGGCAAGCAGTGCCCAGCACGGACCATTCTATGTCACCAATGTGCTTGAAGTCAATCACGAGGACCTCAAGGTATGTGTGACTTCCCTGTCTTGCAGCCTGCGCTGCAGTGGCTTTCTCTCTTTCATTTGGGTTTTAATTTGAAGGCAGAAGTTTTCTTTTTTCCTTATTTTTTTCCTTCTTCCTTTTAAGCCCCCTGATCTAGACCAATGAGCTCACCATTCCTCTAAAGAGAGAAATATCCTTGCTGGGAAAGTGGATGGGGGTGGAAATGAAACCCCCTGATCCTTTCATCTAGGAAATGAAGCATGTTTTCCATGGCTGGCTCTGAAGTCATGCCCAGCAAGATTTCTCAGCAGGGAGATGGCTTCAGAGCAGTACTGTTCTCGGAGCAAGGCACTCCAAAGGTGCAGTAACCACAGTGGATGAAGTTAGTGACCATTGCTGGGGCTGCAGAGGTGGAATGAGTCTTTGTTTCTGATTAATAACAGCTCTGTTCATGTTCCACTCAGTGTTTTTACCTTAGGCTGCTCCAAACCAGGGGGATGGATGAGAAGCCCTCAGGAAAGCTCTTTTATAAGCTGGGAGCATGAGGAGTGCTCCATGTGAGATTGTCAGACATGTGATGCACATTGATGTGCTAGCTGAGGGTGCTGCCTTCAAGCCTATGGGTATGAAAGCCTTTGAAGTAACTGATGGATAAGTTCACCAGGGAGTTCCGATCAGAAAAGCAGCATTTAGGGCTTCCTTCTCTCACTGGTGGGGAAAGGAATGGGGGAGAGGCTTTTTGGAATGAGAATTGCAAAGCCTGACAGCGTGCTTTGGAGGATGGGTGTTTATCTGGTGGTGTTTCTCTCTCATTCCACAGGACAGCAATGGCCAGGTAGCAGGAGGTGGTGTCTCAGTGTATTATTCCCACGTGCTGCAGATGTTGTTCTTCAGTTACTGTCAAGGCAAATCCTTTGCTGCCACCATCAGCAGGGCCAATCTGGAAGTGCAGAGGCTATTCCCAATCAACATAAAGAGGTGAGGCTCATGTGAGAGACTCCCCTGAACTTTGATTTGTTTATATATTATTAATAGACATCAATTATTATTAATGCCCCAGCTCTTGAGTGGCCAAAGCTTGGCTGAAGATCCCCTTTTTGCCTGATGATTTCTTGCTACTTTTCAGGGTGCTTCTGCCCTAATTGCAGAATGATTTGAAACCAAAGCTGGCTCTTCTGGCATTGGGCCCATATGCATTTTTCCTTCCCACTGGGATTTCACAGCAGAAAGGTGGCTTCGGAGCAGTCTTGCTGCACAGTGCAGAGCTGCTACTGGTGCAGCAGCTGGAACTGATGGGATTACCCTCCCTTGTGGAGCCTGCAGAGTAGGAAGCCTTTGTTTCCTTTCGGCACCAGTACTGCAGTGGACCTTATGCATTGTGCATATTAAGGTTTATTTTCAGACGCCCTTGAGGGAATCCAGTCTCTTACGCTATGAATATGGCAATAAAAAAAGCTGTTCTGACAAGCAGAGCTGGGCATGTAGGCCACAGACTCTTCACTACCCTGACATAAAGTCACTGGTGTGAGCAGGCTCTGTAAAACGGTCAGAGTTCCCTCCTGGGGGTGTTGAAACATGGAACTGTGCATACGGGCAGATAAAAAGATAGGTGAAAGCTGTTTTAAGATGACTTCCTTGGTTTGGGGCATAAGATGTTATTAAGGGTCTTGCCTTGAGTTTCCAGGGTAGGGATCAGGGCTGTGAATCAGGATGCTTGTGCCTTCTGTCCACTCAAATGATGGTCTCACCTGTAAACTAGGCACTAATGCCCCTGGCTGTTCACTAGTGCAGTGCTTTGAATTCCTTAGCCGAGGACTAAGCTTTAGCATATTGGAATGCTGATGAATTTTGTGTAGTTTTGCTTGTGCTCCTTCTCAAATGAATGTTACTCTGCCCTTCATCTCTTGCAGTTCAAATGGTGGGAGTAAGACTTCACCAGCACTGTGTCAGTGGTCTGAGGTGATGAACCATCCTGGCTTGGTGTGCTGTGTTCAGCAAACCACCGGTGTCCCGCTGGTGGTGATGGTGAAGCCAGACACCTTTCTCATCCAGGAGATTAAAACCTTGCCAGCCAAAGCAAAGGTTAGTCACGGTTCCCTGTATTTTCAGCTGTTAAAATGTGATTTCTTGATGTTCCATCAACAAGACCTCTAGTCTTTGCAGCTTTTCTAATGCAGGGAGTTTGTTTCTTCAAGTAGTTGCCAGGTCTTTTACTTGACTCGCATTGCTTGGCTTTGCAGATCCAGGACATGGTGGCGATCCGTCACACAGCCTGCAATGAGCAGCAGAGGACCACTATGATCCTCCTGTGTGAAGATGGCAGCTTGAGGATCTACATGGCCAACGTAGAGAATACCTCCTACTGGCTCCAGCCCTCTCTCCAGCCCAGCAGCGTCATCAGCATCATGAAGCCAGTTCGCAAGCGCAAGGCAGCTGCTATTAGTAAGGGACTGCTTATAGCTTACCTTGTGCAAAGTAGTGGTGGCAAATGTGGACGTAAAGATTGGTCAGCATCGTAGAGATACTTAAAGTGTTCACTTCTGCCAATTACTGGTTAAACTCAGGCTTAAGTACTGGCTAAGTGTGGGTAAAATGTTTCCATAGATGTATAATGGCTCCATAGATGTATATGGCTAAGAAAGACAGGCTGAGAAAGTTGGAGCTGTTCAGCCTGGAGAAGAGAAGCTGTGTGGAGACCTCAGAGCAGCTTCCAGTGTCTGAAGGGGGCTACAGGGATGCTGGAGAGGGACTCTTCATCAGGGACTGTAGGGATAGGACAAGGGGTGATGGGTTCAAACCGAAACAGGGCAAGTTCAGGTCAGATACAGGGAAGAAGTTCTTTACTGTGAGGGTGATGAGGCACTGGTACAGGGTGCCCAGAGAAGTGGTAAATCTCCATCCCTGTCAGTATTAAAGGTCAGGTTGGACAGAGCCTTGGATGACATGGTTTAGTGTGAGGAGTCGCTGCCCGTGGCAGAGGGGTTGAAACTGGATGATCTTAAGGTCCTTTCCAACCCAAACCATTCTATGATTCTTCTGTGATTCTATATAAAAATACACAGCTGTCTGTCTCACACAGGTATTTCTGAAAGAGGCAGGTTCATTCTGCAGTTTTTTTATTGTAGCTGTGCCTAGTTTGAATGTATTTTATCACAAACATCTCTCCTTCCCTTTTAGCAACTCGCACATCCAGCCAAGTGAACTTCCCTATTGACTTCTTTGAACACAACCAGCAACTCACAGATGTGGAGTTTGGAGGCAACGACCTGCTGCAGGTTTACAATGCTCAGCAGATAAAGCACCGCCTCAATTCCACTGGCATGTATGTGGCCAACACAAAGGTAAGCAGGGAAATTTGGGGGTTCTGTTGGGCTTGTAGGTGACATTATAGTCCAGGTGGACCCATGCCTGTTCTTAGGAGTCTGCCCAGCATACTGTTAGGTAAACAGCAGGGGCACCTGAATACAACCTTAGATTCTTAGCTTGGGAGTGAATTTCTGACTTCACCTTTCTGAGCTGTGATTTGTCCTCTACAGCCTGGGGGTTTCACCATCGAGGTGACAAACAACAACAGCACAATGGTGATGACAGGCATGAGGGTCCAGATTGGCACACAGGCAATAGAGAGAGCCCCCTCGTACCTGGAGATCTTTGGCCGCACCATGCAGCTCAACATGACCAGGGCTCGTTGGTTTGACTTCCCTTTCACTCGAGAGGAGGCCCTGCAGGCTGACAAAAAACTCACCATCTTCAGTAAGTCTTTGTCACTTGTTTGCTTTCACTACCTGTTGGTTTTGCTTGGGGGGGTTGAGGCTTCACCTCATAGTAGGGATCCACAATCTGTTTGACTTAAGAAACAGTTTAAGGGGTGGATCCTGGACATTTAATAACTTATGGCCTGGTTTCGTGCTGCAGTGGGTGAACATGCAACAGCTCAGCTCAGTAAGTCTGTGTTGAGGTAATAGAGAAGGGAAGTGAAGGAGATGAAACTGTCAGAGTGGTGGTATATTAATGACATATATAATCCCTATCCTGATGTTATGAACTACTCTTGTTTCTGTTTAAAAGAAACTGGTTTGCTGTTTTTTAAGCAGTTTCTCTCACCACTGCAGTTGGGGCTTCTGTGGATCCTGCTGGAGTCACGATGATGGATTCCATCAAAATCTATGGCAAAACCAAAGAGCAGTTTGGGTGGCCTGATGAGCCCCCCGAGGATTTCCCTTCTGCTTCAGTGAGCAACGTTTGCCCCCCAAACCTGAACCAAGGGAATGGCACTGGAGACACAGAGTCAGCTACCCCTGCTGCTGCAAGTGGGACTGTCCTGGAGAGGTATTTCTGCTGTCTTCCTTTGGTTTATAGTTGCTGTAGAGGGGGCTTAGGTACACTTGTGTGCCTTTCTTAATAAGGGAGTTAGTGAGTTGTTGCCATACAAAACAACAACTGAAAAGTCAATGATTATCCTCCAAGGAGGGCTTTGTGCTTACTCTTTACCTGCTGGAGTAGCTGGCTAGATCTGTGTGCATGCTTTGTGTTGCTAAGGCCATTTGTTTCAGCAGTCTTGAAGAGCTAAATGAAATTTCTGGCTCCTTGGTACGTTTCCTCATTTCAAGCTGGCCCTGTTTCATTCTCTAGAGCTCAAAAAGGCTGGGCCTCTCTGGAGTTCAGGTCACTTGTGAGGGGGGCTTTGTGTGTCTTCACTTTAGGCAAGTGGTTCCCACCATCTTCCCTTGTAGCCCCCATGTTTTGGGCTTCACCACTGTGGTGGAGAAAGTGTTGGGTTTCTTCCCTGCCCTATCCCTACTGAGACTCAAACCACAGGGGTGAGCTGGGCGTCTATTTAGCAGAAGGAAGAGACTTTGAGCTCATACAGCCTGTATCATAAGGGTTGTAGGAAGCCTGGCAAGGATAGGAGGGAAACAGATCAAAGAGGAACTAGCAAAAGCCTTACTGAAATTCCCAGGTAAAGGTTCAGGGCTTGAAGTAGCAGTTGTGTCCAGTTGAAGGGCCTGTTTGGCCATCCTGTAGCATTTTGTCTAATAGTGGATGGGTTTTTTTGTCCCTGTGCTTATTTTCTCTTTTCTTCCCTCCTCTGCTGTGACATCTCCACAAGATGTCCCTCTCAGCACAGACATGCTGCCTTGGGTTTCCAGAGCAGTGGGATTATAGTGTCAAAACTCAGAACCAAAAGAAAATACTCCTTATTTCTACTTAACGTATTACAGAATGCAGCATGCTTACCTTATAAATGGCCTCTTGAGTAGGATCAACTAATGGCAGGCAAGAGGCAGCTTTCCCAGCAGGAGTTTGGTGTCTGCACTCAAATTGAACCTTCAGTGGTGCTTTAAGCAATGTGCTTGGCTTCTCTGTGCTAGGTGGCCTGGTTCTCCTTGATTTCTTTTGCTACGAGGCAAGTGTCTGCTGCCCAGATAGAGCGAACCGTGCTTAGATTTCCTGTGTATAGCACTCTCCCAGCTTCCCGACTTCCCCATTTAATTTGCCTTTTGCTTAGAATGTCTTTGAGGGAGTTGTTCTGTGAGCTTTACACATTTCTTTTTGTTTGTTTTTTTTCCTTTTTCTTTGCTCCCCCAAAGTTCTGAATCTGAGTCCCTAACCACCCTGGACCGGTTAGTATGCCATCCTTTTCTCTGCACGAGTGAGTGTGTGTCAGAGAGGCAGAACACATGATGTGGCTTTTGTTGACTGGTTCTTTTATTACTCTTTGTTTTCCAAGCGCCATTTGCTTCTTTACATCCTGGTCATTGCATGGCAGATGGTTTAGCAAAGTGTAAAGATGAGGTGGTTTGCAGATTTTTCCTGTATACAGCATAACTGTGGCTTGTTTGACAGACTCCTCCTTTTGCTTTGCTCCCTCCTTGAGTCTTTTGATCCCACTGATATTCCCCTACCAGCCTTATGGAGAGTGGCTCTGGGTAGGGCACTGTCTTATTTATCACCACCAGACCAGAGGATTGTTTCTTCTACCTCATATCCAAGCCTACACTGTTATTCTCCCCTTAATCCTATCTCTTCCCTCCTTTTTCCTGTGTTCTCGCACTGCTCCTTCTGGTGTGTCAGATGGCATTTCAGGTAGTTCTGCCCCAAGGCATCAGGGGCTGCAAGGGAGGTTCAGCACTTTGCCCTGAGGTATAAGTAAGGTTTTCCCTTGGGGCAAGTATTTTACAAGCCTGCCTTACCACTCTCAAAAGTTTGGACCTCAGCATCTCCCCGTTGGGTCATACCCAGTGCTCCAGGTTAATTTTCCTCTGGCATATTTTGTGCTGAAACTCCCAAATTGGAAAGAGCAACCTGTGTGGAAATAGCAAGCGAGTAGAATCTTGCTCCCTTAGCAAAGTCAGTTACGCTTCTTCCCATGTGTCACACCACCCCTTGATCTGCAGTCATATGTACGTCTGTGGGCCATGGTGAATTGGTACTGTCAAGACAATCCAAGTTATCCCTGCTGCAGGCTGCGTAAGGAAACGTTTTATCCTCTTTGGGAGAGAAAAGCCCCTGTCTTTCAGCTGTGGATTATTAAAGCAGTCCTAAGTTTGTCTGTGAGCGTGAGCCAGGTTTAACTCTGGTCTGTAACACAATGAAATGATATGCATGGTGCCTGTGGCAGGTTTTATCATGCTTTGATTTTGTACTTGGCATTCGTTAGCTGTCTCTGAGCTACTCATGACTGTAGCCCGCATAAAGCAAAGTGCTAAGGAGAGGGAAGGGTTGCTGTACTCAAGCCTGCTTTCCTTTCTCCCTTCAGGCTAGTAGTGAGTTCTTTAGAAGCGCTGGAAAGCTGCTTTGCTGTAGGACCAGTCAACGAGAAGGCAAGTAACTTTCTGAATACATTCTTGAGCTTTCCGAGCTGGGGGAGGAGGGGCAAGATCAGCAGCACCTCCTGCAGCCCTGGGGGCCTGATACGGAAGAGAAGCCGCATCCGTTTTGCTCAGAGCACTGATCTCAAAGTTGACTTAGCAAAGAGCCTGTGAAACTAGTTTGGAATGACAGTCGGCATTTGCATTTATTGCTGGCGGGGTTTTAGTGCTGAAGAGTGACCTCGTTTACTAAAACAGCAGGGGAGAAGCCCAAAAATCTCAAAAGGACTGTTCTTATGTAGACATGTAAATGTTCTTTAAATGCCAAATAATAATCTGAGGAGGCTACTAAAGTGGTGTTGAACTTGCTTGAGGGGAGGGAGCTGCAGGTACACTGAGAAGTCGCATTCATGCATCACCTTAATAGTAAATGTACTGAAGAATTTCTTGTCTCTTCTTGGGAGCAGGAGAAGAATAAGGTGGCAGCTCAGGAACTGGCTACTATGCTGCTGTCCATGCCAGCTCCTTCCAGTGTCCAGCAGCAAACCAAAAGCCTCCTGGCCAGCTTGCACACCAGCCGCTCGGCATACCACAACCACAAGGTAAGACACTGCAAGGATTTAATGACTCCTATAACTTCCCAGTTTATGGTGGAGGTGCGGCATGCCTTCCTCCATGCAGTGTAGATCTGCTGGCTACTTTTCCATCAGCTCCTGCTGCCTGCATTGCTGGCTTCTGTGTTTCACCAGAACCTCACTGCTTAAAACGCTTTTTGAAGATTCTGGGGGGAAATAATGTCAATCTAGAGACATGGGGATCTTGAAACACATGAAGTTTGCAAACTCTGTCTTTAGCTCTGGTTTCTGTTTCCACAGGCATCTGGCTTAGGGTGATAGGAAATTACCAGGGTAAGTAGTGGTTAGACTGTGCTAGTGTAATTGCAGTTAATGCACAGATGCTTGCAGATAGCCTTTTCTAACCACTTGGATGATTATGTTTATACACTGTTTTTTCCATCCACATTTAAGCCTGAGGGGAAGCAAATGTGAAAATAATTCTCAAGCCAGATTTCTTCTGTTAGAGAGGGTGATTTTGTATTTTTAGTTGTTCTCCCTAGATGATACAGGCCAAGAGTTAAAGCAGCCAAGAGCCAACAGCAGCGAGCATCAGATATCCCTGGGATCTGTTCTGCAGTTGTACTTCAGTTGTTTTGTTGTGCTGCTCTCTGATGTTTTCCTTTCCCTGTGTTATCTTTCATGTTACAGGATCAAGCATTGCTAAGTAAAGCCATTCAGTACTTGAGTTCCTCAACCAAAGAAGGAAAGGACCTTGATCCTGAAGTATTTCAGAGGCTGGTGATCACTGCTCGATCCATTGCTATTATGAGACCCAACAATCTGGTCCACTATACAGAATCAAAGCTGCCACAGTTGGAAACAGGTAGATAAGTCTGTAATATTTTCCAGCTTTCTGGTATAGCAATTAAAGGTGTCTTGGGGTGTCTGGTTCAGTGTGACAGGAACTCTATCTGTGGTCCTTGTAATGAGGACATCAGTCTAACGGAAGTCATTTTGAATAAGCTTGGTGTTTCCTGCTTGGTAATGCTCTCCCTGCATATACCTGACAAGTGTTTTTAATCTGTACAGAAAGTGAAGAAGGGCAGGAGGCCCTGAAACAGGCTGAAGGAGAAGGCTGCACCTTTATTACCCAGCTGGTTAACCACTTCTGGAAGCTACATGCATCAAAACCCAAAAATGCCTTCCTTGCCCCTGCCTGCCTGCCAGGTGTGTTGCTCCTCATCTGCTATTGTCAAGCTTGTGTAGTTTGAAGGATCCGATTTTAAGCTTGTGAACAGAGAAAATTGTTTCAGTCTAGGCTTACGATGCTGTGTGTGCTTTCTAAGGTGTAGCTGCAAATTCTGCTCTAAAGCTTTTGTTCAGAGGTACGTGTATTGTGCTAGTAAAAAGGTGATTGATTGATTCACATTTGGCTTGATGGAGGATGTTAGAAGATATTTGGTGGTGCTGGTATATCACATGCACAATATTCTGTTAGACGAGAGTGGTGTGTAAGATCACCTTGGATTGAAAATCAATGTATTTGTGGTGTTGACATTGTGCCTTGAAGCCCGCAAACAGAAGATGCCTCCTGCAGTGTCTCACTCTATGTTCTGAAATGGAAAGATTGTTGATCACAGTCTACTTTTCTTCCTCCGTAGGTCTCACTCACGTTGAAGCCACAGTCAATGCTTTAGTGGATATTATCCATGGATACTGCACTTGTGAACTGGATTGTATCCATACAGCATCCAAAATCTACATGCAAATGTTACTTTGCCCGGTGGGTAATCTTGCTCTGCTCTGCTTCAGGCTCTGTAACGCTGCACCAGGGGAGGTTTAGATTGGATACTAGGAAAGATTTCTTCACCAGATGGGTTGTCAAGCACTGGAATAGGCTGCCCAGGGAGTCACCATCCCTGGAGGTATTCAGAAGCCATGTAGATGTGGCATTTAGGGACATGGTTCAATGGTGGCCTTGGCAGTGGTTAATGGTTGGACTCAATGATCTTGAAGGTCTTTTCCAACCTAAACGTTTCCATGATTCTATACTATGAAGAGAATTAAATACAGGTAGAATGATGACATGAAGTACAGATGCAAAACAGAGGCATGCAGCCAAAAACATAGAGCCAGAAGTGAAGGAAGGAGAAATTTCTCTCTCCTTGTGTTTGAGTTATGTTTGTCATGCGCTGCATGTGGAACGAGAAGTATTGCTTTAGGACTGCTGGGGAAACGGAGCTCAGAAGTGAGCAGTGACTTACGTCTCACATGAATCATGACCAGCAGAGTCATAAGTGTATTTTTAGCTATCCTTCCAAATACTGTGAAGAAACACTTTAAGAAGTTTAATGATTAATTATTAACCCTCTAGGATCCTGCAGTGAGCTTTTCTTGCAAACAAGCTTTGATCAGAGTGCTGAGACCAAGGAACAAGCGGAGACATGTCACTTTGCCATCCTCCCCTCGGAGCAATACTCCTATGGGTACGCAACATGGATTCATCTTTGCTTTTAGATGAGTGTGACCTACTTTATTTGTCAGAAAAGACAAGAAGATAAAGTAGTCTTACAAACTGGGGCTAAAGAAGACTGAAACCAGTCTTTCTCCATTCTCTTGCTCTGTCTTATCCCCTAACTCCCTTCTTTAAACATTTCACCTCTTCTTTAATAGTCTGGGATTCTCTCTGAGATATGACTCCCCTTTCAGTGACAGGGAAATCTGATTGGTTTATGTGGGGGTAGTAATTCAGACTGTCTTAGTATTTCTGTGCATATTTTTAAGTCCTCCTATATAAGTCATAAAGCTGGGTGCAGACCAAAGTTAGGGTACCAGGTTTCCATGCAAGAGATGCTTTTTTAGCATTGATGTGAATTGTGGTTGTCCATGAAATCTAATAGTGACTGGGGGTAAACTGAACATAGCTTAGGGGTTTTTCCAGCATCACCTTGTTTGTCATGGTATGAAAAAAGAGGGCATTTATGAATGAATCCTTTGTAACTCAGGAGATAAGGATGACGATGATGATGATGATGCGGAAGACAAGCTGCAGAGTTCTGGGATAGCAAATGGTGAGCACATCCGACAGGAAAGCCAGGAGCAAAGTGAAGTTGATCATGGGGACTTTGAAATGGTGGTAAGTCCAGAGTTCTTCTCTTCAGAGCTTTTCTAGTATGTGAAGTGCTCGAGTTTAATCTACTTATGATGTAAATTAATCATTACTTATGATTAATTTACTGCAAACTACTCAGTTTGTAGTGCACTGTTAGCTGGTGGTGGGTTAGTGAAAGTTCTCACTGTGTTTCCTTTCCATAGTCTGAATCTATGGTTCTGGAGACTTCTGAAAATGTGAATAATGGGAACCCTTCTCCCCTGGAAGCTCTTCTGGCTGGAGCAGAGGGGTTTCCTCCTATGCTGGATATTCCTCCAGATGCAGATGATGAAACAATGGTGGAATTGGCTATTGCTCTGAGCCTGCAACAAGATCAGCAAGGTAAGAAGTAGGTGGTGTTGGCAGTCAAAAAGGTAAATAAAAGATGAAGAAACTGGGACAGAAACAAAGCAGGAGCTGTTGATGTCACCACCAACAAAGCAGAGACAAAAGAATGATGAAGCATATAGAGAAGGCCAGAGCTAACATCATTCTCTCATAGAAAGAGACTCATAATTTGTTTTCTTCTTGCAGGGAGCAGCAGCAGTGCACTGGGGCTTCAGAGCTTAGGACTGTCTGGCCAAGCACCCAGCTCTTCCTCTCTTGATGCCGGAACACTCTCAGATACAACAGCATCAGGTAACTGTTCACTGCAAAGAATCAAGCTTTTTTGCTTTTGACCTAAATAATAACTTAAAATTTGTTTGTAAATATGGTTTTGAAGAACCAGTTATTGCTGTTGGCTTCATGTGTGTTTAATAGCATGTTTATGGCCTTTCCCTGCTTTGAAAGACTTTTACCATAGGCTTCTGAGGAAGGTATTTCCTCTCCTTAAAATAAAGCAGACCAAATAAACCATATACTGTATTTCCTCTCCATTTATACACAAGCAGACATTGGTCTTCAAGTAACTTGCATGATTACCAATTTGATGAGGAGGTTTCCTTCTCAGGGTGGCTCCCCTCCACTGCTTTTAGCAGGCTTAAATGGACACTTCCAAGTTCCCTTTTGACTTGTAGTTGAGAAGTGACACAAAGCCCAAACCTTTGTGGCTTTCCTTTCATAGCTTGCATGCCTTTTGAAGTTCTATCAAGGCAGTGTTTTTACTTGTAACAGCTCTCTTTATTCTCTTAGCTCCAGCGTCTGATGATGAAGGCAGCACCGCTGCAACAGACGGCTCCACTCTTCGGACATCACCTGCAGACCATGGTGGGAGCGTGGGCTCCGAGAGCGGCGGCAGTGCGGTGGACTCCGTGGCTGGTGAGCACAGTGGTGAGTGTCTCCTGTGCACCAGTACATCTGCTTTCTGCTGTAACAGGACTTCACCAGAGTGAGGAGGAGGCAGTAATCCCTGCAAAGAAGGACTCTAAGTTCCAATTAGATGATGCCATGCAGCAGTGTATGGTTACTGCAGACACACTAATGTATGGTTGTGTACAGACTACTTGCTCACTTCTTTTAGTTCTCTGCAAGTGTGGAGTCTGCAGTGTTTTTTGCTGGCCTGTTATAACAGAATGCAGTAGCCTACAGCAAGAGTGAAAGAATTCACTATACTGCTGGGTAAGCTTGGATGGGATAGAATTAATTTCTCTCTTTTTTTGCTTGGGACTGTTACCCAGGTAAAATAATCACAGTCTTCTGTATTAAAGCTATGTCTGTGCTGCCCATCCACACCTTTTCTGACTCAGTTTAAATTACTGCTGTGGAACCAATTCATTTTGTGCCACAAAGGTGAGGGTCATGAAACTCTTCTAGCTTTATGAAGATCAACAAAGCACTGTCTCTTTAGTATCATAGTTCCAAAGTACATTCAGCTGTGTCAGTTGCTGTGAAGCAGGAAAATGCAAGTTCAGTTGTGCTGACATTGTCTTTCCCTGGTTTTGTTTTCCTTTCCCAGTGTCTGGCCGTAGCAGTGCCTATGGGGACACAACAGCCGAGGGCCACCCCGCTGGCCCAGGCAGTGTCAGCTCCAGCACCGGTGCAATCAGCACTACCACGGGCCAGCAGGAAGGAGATGGTTCAGAAGGGGAAGGAGAGACAGAAGGAGACGTCCACACCAGCAACAGGCAAGGAAGGGGCTTTGCTTTCCACTTGAAGAACAGCACATCTGGTCTGCAGTGTTGTTTAGAGGAGTGGACCGCAGGTGCTGAAGTTCACGGAGTGTGATTTGTGAATGTTGGATAGTAAAAAGTGAAAGTCAGAAGCATAGAGCAGAGCACACTGCCATGGCAAAATGCCTCCCTGTGCATTCACCATGGAACGTGCCCCCAAACTGCTGCCTGAATGATGAAAAAATCCTGCATGAGTCAAGTAAAAAGAGGAATAACCAAAATACACAGCTTGGGAAGCTTGTGAAATTCAGTCTTAGGAGGAAAGTATGTGCAAGGTGCCAAGCAGTTTGGGAAGGTTCTGCAGGTTTTAGTTCTGCAGGAGACATGCTCAGTCATTTTTACAGTGCACTTTGGAACTGATTTGTAGTGTTTGTTCCTGTACAGTTGAATTCTGCAGGTGGTTATGCTAGGCAGAGTAGTTCTGAAGTGAGTAACATCTGTTGTCAGTTGCTCTGCAACTCTATCAGGATGATCTTTGACATCGCTTGACTGCAAAGTCTGAGGGATTCTGCTCCTCTGTGCGTGTGGCTGTGATGACTTTAGGATTTCCTCATGTTCTGCAGTTCTGTGGTGAATTGCAGTGCTCTGTTGGTGCTCCTGCTGGGTCTAATGTTTCTCGTGACATGTCTGAAGTGCTTCATGTCTGATCCTGGCTTCTCACTTCCCAGGCTGCACATGGTCCGACTGATGTTGCTGGAGAGGCTGCTGCAAAACTTACCTCAGCTGAGGAATGTTGGAGGAGTCCGGGCCATTCCTTATATGCAGGTAAGTGAGGAGGGCTCAGGTGTTAAATCTAACCAGTTAATCACCATTACTGCCTGGTTTCTATTTGCACATGCTTTATCCTTGCTCTTTCCTGCCCACTCACAATGTGTGTCCATCTCTGAAGTGTTTGCTTCAGCAGTCTTTACCCATTGACTTCTGCTAGACTTGTGCCCTTTCTCAGTGTGGTGTTACAGCTACAGGCTAAAATCCTTGAACCCTGATGTATTTGGGTCTTTGGTGTTTATACTGAATGATCAAAACATGGTGTGATGGTGTAGGCAGGATTTGGGAAAGAACACAGGTTAATCAAGGTAAAATCTGTGATGTCTTGTGAAAGATCAGCTGCATTTATCTTGAAAACATGGAACCTGCCTCTCTTTATTCCCTGCCCTCTATTGCCAGGTTATTTTGATGCTCACAACAGACCTAGATGGAGATGATGAGAAAGATAAGGGAGCTTTGGATAACCTTCTGTCCCAACTGATTGCAGAGCTATGCATGGACAAAAAGGTAAGCTGTAGTATGTGCACACTCTTGATTTGCTCCTTCTAGACAGTTTGTTTCCATGGAGCAATTAGATGCATGGGACTTACAGAAACACACTGCTGTGTGGATGTGTTCAGGCACTTAATTTCTCTTGGCTCACTTCACACAAGGTAGAAAATGACATGGGTGTAATTCTCACTGTTTCCTGGTTCTAGCATCTACAAGTGAGCATGAAAACTTGCTTTGCTTGATTATACTCTTAAACCAGATGTGAACAGTAATGCATATATAGCTCTTTGATTGTATAATATTATTCTCTGGCACCCAAGCCACTGTCAACCCTTACATTGAGGAGTTTGTGCTGCTTTTTTAGTATAGCTGCTTGAGCTTAATGCTTCCTGAGGATCAGAGCAGTGAGATGTAGGTGCTTAGGACATCGTGCTCAGCTCTGTAACAGGGAAGCTCTCTCTTTGCAGGATGTGTCTAAGAAAAATGAACGTTCTCCTGTGAATGAAGTGCACTTGGTGGTGATGAGGCTGCTTAGTGTGTTCATGTCCAGAACTAAGTCAGGATCCAAGTCTTCCATTTGTGAGGTACCTTTTTCAAACTGCTTTGCTAGGGGGATAATGTGGAAGGGGGGCTTTTAGTCATCAGAGATGGTCTAGAATCTGCTAACAGAAATAGCTGGTGTGAAACTGAAGAACAGTTGGATTTGGAAAACATTTGGAAAAATGTATGAGGAATCTGTAATGTTCCTCAGCTCCTGTGGAAAAAGATCTTTGAAATTCAGCATAGAGGAAAAAGGGGCATGTAAAGACACCTGGATTCACTTGTTTTCTGCACAGTTTCTGACTGAGTTAAGGGCAGCACATTGATGATGGCATTTCAAACAGCCTGGCACATTTTTTCCTTGCCTCTTCCTGGTGCTGAAGGGGTTAAAGAGGATTTGTAATGTGATTATTGGAAAGCAATATGCTGCTGTGTCAACGTAAAAGTCGCTAAGAGGATTCCTTAGATATTTGTTGCTAAAAGGTACAGTAATAAGGCATAAAAAAGCAGTATGTGTGGTGGGAAGGAGATTAATAAAAAAGCATAGAGGTTAAAAAATTTAGTCTGAACTGCATCAAATTTTAATGAGCTTATGAGCTGTGGGGTTTGTTTGGATTTACAGCCCTGCTTTAATAGTTTTATTTACAGTAGCTTTTTTCTCCAGCCTTTGTTACTCACTTGAGCTTCCCACAGAAATCAAAGCTCATCGTCTTGCAGAATGCAGGTGGAGCAATACCTGGGTGGAGCAGAGCCTCTGAGCTGCATCTGCAACAGGGCCTCTTTCTCTACCAAGAATTCCCACCCAGCTGGCCAAATCCCAGAGGAACAAATAGAAATCCCAACTTAAAATAAATAAATAAAATAAAGAAGGGGGGTTGTGAAAGGAAAGGCAAAAAGCCCTCGTTGTCTAATCCATAGCAGAGTGGCCTCTGGCACATGTGTCGAGGGGAGATTAGACTTAAGAAGAGATTTTATTTGTTTTCCTTTACTAAGCGCTTGTTCAAAAGAGTCTCTGTAAATATTTGAGTTGCTTTTCATAAACACACAAAAAAAAACCCTAAAAACCTCCAACCTCAAACAAACCCCAAACTTAAAAGCTGCCTCTAAAGTTCCATAAAAACCTGCTCTGTTAGCCACAGTCAGTAGCTGCTGAGTACTTCTCACAGCTTCCCTGCCCTTCCAACGTGGTGCTTCTCAGGTGCTTTAGTAACCCAGCTCCTCTTTGTTTCAGTCTTCCTCCCTCATCTCTAGTGCCACTGCTGCTGCACTGTTGAGTTCTGGTGCTGTTGACTACTGTCTGCATGTGCTGAAGTCTTTGCTGGAGTATTGGAAAAGCCAGCAGAATGATGAGGAGCCTGTAGCCACCAGCCAGCTCCTGAAACCTCACACTACTTCTTCTCCACCTGACATGAGCCCTTTTTTCCTCCGCCAGTATGTGAAGGTGAGTCCTAGCCTATGCTCGTAGCTTTACATAACCTGCCTTAAGAGGCTGCTGCAGAGAAGCAAGTAAAAGCATCCTTGCAGAACTGGTTTTCCCTTAGTAGGGCAATTGAAATCTGTCCCTATAGCTTGTAGTTAAAACTAGGATTTAGATTGGATATAAGGAAGAAATTCTTTCCTGTTAGGGTGCTGAGGCACTGGAATGGGTTGCCCAGGGAGGTTGTGAATGCTCCATCCCTGGCGGTGTTCAAGACCAGGTTGGATGAGGCCTTGGGTGATAAGATTTAGCATGAGGTGTCCCTGCCCGTGGCAGGGGGGTTGGAACTGGATGATCTTAAGGTCCTTTCCAACCCTAACTGTTCTATGATTCTATTCTGTGATTCTATGATCAATGCACTCCTAAACCAAGCAGTTGTGTGGAGCTGCTGTCACTGTTTCTGCTTGAAGGGAAGCTCCTCCAACTCCTGCCTCCTTGTGCTTGGCAGAATTCCTGAACCACTACTTCCTGTGGCAAGGAAGCCTAGGATTTGATGGGGATTTCCACCCTAAATCCTAGACTTGTTCTACCACCATGGTACCTTTATGCTGCTGGGAAGGGGGGCTCTGATATATGTACAGGTGCAGTGAAAAAAGTGTAGTTAAATGGAAGAATGTCTCCTAAGTTGAAAGCTCCTGTGTTAAATTGCCTTATACAACAGATGAGCTTGCTGCATCCTCTTAGTTGCTGTCTAGTTAAAGTCCTCATGCAGATTTGTTGGCTTGTTTTACAGGCTGCAGAGGTGCAAAAAAAGCTTTGTTTTTAGCAAATCAATAAATGCACCCTATAGCTTGTCATGACAGCTCCTTGGGAATGTTCAGTGCCAGAGCCTGATGGATTGCTTTTGCTCCCAGGGTCATGCTGCTGATGTTTTTGAGGCCTACACTCAGCTCCTGACAGAGATGGTGCTGCGGCTGCCCTATCAGATCAAGAAGATTGCAGACACAAACTCCCGCATCCCGCCTCCCATCTTTGACCACTCTTGGTTCTACTTCTTGTCTGAAGTAAGTGAGAGCATGATAGATCTATGGACTTGAACAAAAACATTTCAGGAGTATTGCCTTTCATGGGAGAGATGAGCTTCTGCAGAATTCCTCTCAGATCCATCTCTGAATTTTAAGCCCCCTTGGAAGAAGGTGAGCTGTTGGCTTTGTTTTATTCCTGTGGAACAAGAATCTGTAGGAAAGCATACGTGAAAAAGAGCACTGCTATTTGCTGTAACTCGGTGTCTGCTGCCAGGAAATAGGAATTGAAAACCCTCTCTGGGGTGGTACAATGTAACCGTGCTTGCTACTTAACTTGGTCCTCGTAAAAGGCATCAGTAAGGTTATTTGGAGTATATTATTTTGGTTCCTTTGGTTGTATAGCTTCCTAGTTGAGATCACATCTTCCATTTGCACAAGTGTGGGGTAGGATTTCTTAATTAGGCTTGACTAGCTTTTTATTTGATGTCATGGATGACAAAGGAGCAGCAGTGTCACAGTGGCACAGCTCGGGATGCTGCAGTGTTGTTTTGCAGTGTTCCTTCTGCCTGTGACTTACTTTTACAGGTGACTTTACCATACGTTAAAGCTGACAGATTCAGGAATACATCTCCCATATATTTTCTTTCTGTATGAAAACACATGGTGTTTTGGTGGCACGAGTTGCCTGCTGCTGAGTTCACAGTGCTGACGTTGTGGCCTTTTCTTTGTCTAGTACCTGATGATCCAGCAGACTCCATTCGTGCGCCGCCAAGTTCGCAAGCTTTTGCTCTTCATCTGTGGCTCAAAGGACAAATACCGCCAGCTCAGAGACCTGCACACGTTGGATTCCCATGTTCGTGGAATCAAAAAGCTCCTGGAAGAGCAAGGCATTTTCCTTCGTGCCAGTGTGGTCACAGCAAGCTCAGGCTCTGCCCTGCAGTACGATACCTTGATCAGCTTGGTAAGGAGAAGTGTGTCACTGTGCTAGGAAAAGCGTACATTGCATCGATGAAAGATGTCAGAAACACTGACATGGGGTTTAATCCTGTCCCATCGTGCCTTTCAGATGGAGCACTTGAAGGCTTGTGCAGAGATTGCCACACAGCGAACAGTGAACTGGCAGAAATTCTGCATTAAAGATGACTGTGAGTTCTTGAAGAGTATTTGAGGGAGCAGAGGGGATGTATTATGTGTCTTGGTCTGCATCGAGACTTACCAGATGGGGAATCTCAGCAGAGAAGAAGGGAGGACACAGCTGAGTAGGACTGAACAGTTTCCAGTACTAATTATCACAGTGTTCTAATTGCATCTGTCCTTAGCTAAAGGACACAATCTGGTGTAATGGATAACTCACAAGAACAGAAATAGGGGATCTGTGTTCTCTTGCTTGAGCTGCTGTTGTTCCAGTGCGTAATTTGGGATGAAACACTTTACCTTGACGTGCCCAAATGTACAGTGCAGGGACAGGAGGGTTCTGTGAGTTTGTGGGATGGCCCTTGTCACATTCAAAGGCATTTTTTTTGTTGAGGTTGGGGTTTTTTTTGCTTGCTTGTTTTTTAAATTCAGGCTTCAAAGATTTTCTTCCTCTCTTCGCAGCGGTTCTCTATTTCCTCCTTCAAGTCAGCTTCCTGGTAGATGAAGGAGTGTCACCAGTTCTCCTGCAGCTGTTGTCTTGTGCTCTGTGTGGCAGTAAAGTGCTGTCTGTGGCTTCATCCTCGGGATCATCAAGCACCTCTTCCACCTCTGCTCCTGCAGCAGCAGGCTCTGGGCAGCCAGCAACACAGAGCAAATCCTCCACTAAAAAGAGCAAGAAAGAAGACAAGGAAAAGGAGCGAGAGGGTGAGCTGCTGCTGTGCCCTGTTCTCTGTGGTGGTTTTAGAGATAAAGTCTGCTCCTCTCAGCCTTTCATAGTCAATTTAGAAAGAATTGCTTTCCTCTTCTTGTGATAAATGCCACTGTTGGGAAAGGGTCATAGAGGGGTGCAAGGGCACTTACAGACTACAGCAACAATTAGGAGAGAAGAGCAGTTTTACTGTGTGTAGGTAGGAAAGGGACGAAGACGAAGGAGTATGCCTTAGAAGCTGGGGCTGAAATTAAGTGCTGAGTGCATCCCAAACCCACTGTGAGTATTTGTTAACTAGAGTGGGCTTCAAGATAAAGTTATGGAAGTTACTGATTCTCATAATGAAGTAGCTTCCACCCAGCATGCCTGTCCTAGGCTGTAGGAGGTTGACATGCTCATGGGGATTAAAACAAGTACTGGACGTGCACACCCAGTTAGTTCTGCAATTCAATGGTAATGTTCAGACTTGTTTCCACTGGCTGACTTGTAAACTCTATTAGAGCCAGGGCTGCTGCTTAATGGATGCCCAAAGCCCTGGGAAAGTAATTAAGCTTTCCTATAAAAGTCCTGGGCATAAATTCTTTCTTGGCTTTTCTTCATGGAACCATTTTGGCTTTCTTTGAGATGGATCTCTGTGAGTCTTTTTACTGCCCCATGGTTGATCCTTTTCTTTTTATCAGGATGTGTGGCACATTTCTCACACCCTTACTAGCAAGTTTTCCAGCCGTTTTCTGCTGTGTTAGGAGTACTAGGTCATAGTTATGGAAAAAGAAAAGAACATTAAACTTGCTTATTCCCTGAAACACAGTTACTTGTCCCCGTTATCCTGGCTTTATGAGCTATAAAATGAGAAACTGGTCTGCCTGTGAGATAGTCTGTTCATCTTCTTGCTTAAGTCTCACTGTGCCACCCGGTGTCCCCTAGGTGAAGGCGTTGGCAGTCAGGAGGATCAGCTGTGCACAGCTCTGGTGAACCAGCTGAACAAATTTGCTGACAAGGAGACCCTAATTCAGTTCCTGCGCTGCTTCTTGCTGGAGTCCAACTCGTCCTCTGTGAGATGGCAGGCACACTGCCTCACGCTCCACATCTACAGGTGAGCCGGAGGACTCTGATCAGGCTCCTCTTAGCCAGTCTCAGCTCGGTTATGCACAGTTCTGTCCTTGGGTGAGAGTTAATACTTGAGCCTCCTTCCTGAAGGATGCTGGAGCTTGCAGATGATTGCATTCCCTTGGCTTGCTCACACTGTTTTGCAGTTACTGGGGCTGAAGGTAGAAGTTGTGACCTAATGATCAACTTGAGCTGTCATCTGCAAGAAGCATTTTATTTGCCTGCAGACTCTGGCTCCTGATGCCTAGGGGAGGAGGTATTTGTGAGCAAGTGAATTTCTGAAGCAGATGCAGACTCATGCAGTTACAAAGTTGGGAGTTACATAGGGAAAGGCACAACTCAGGGTGCTGCAGTCCTTCAGACCTTTATCAGTTGTTGCAAGACAGCTGCTTTCATTTCAGAGAGTGATGAGAATTAACTCTCTGCACTCCAGTGTATGGAGGATAATGGTTTCCAAGCTTGGTGAACTGTAGCACGTTTTGAGTAAGATGCCATGCAGTCTGTGTAGCTATCTTCACAGCCCTAATTGTATGTCCTCTATACAACAGGAACTCAAACAAGTCTCAGCAGGAATTACTCTTGGATCTCATGTGGTCAATCTGGCCAGAACTTCCAGCCTACGGGAGAAAGGCTGCCCAGTTTGTAGATCTCCTGGGATACTTCTCCCTGAAAACACAGCAGACTGAGAAGAAGGTACAGTGTCCTCCTGAGGAGGAGATGCAGCATCCCAGGTCCTGCTGCTTCCTGTGGATTATCACAAATGACAAATGATATCAGAATTATCAGGAGTGATACAGCTGGGACAGATTTTCTGTCAAAAGAGCTTTCTGTGGAAACTTTTCTTGTTCCCAAAACTGTTAAAAAGGCTCCTTCAGGACTTGAGGAGTGTGGATTTTTTCTTATTGTAGGGTTTTTTGGTTTGGGGAGGTTTTTTGGAGTCTGTTTTAACAATTTTCTTTAGATGAAAACATCTTCCCCACAGGAAGCTTTTGTGGGAAAATACATTTATTTGCTAGCTCCAGTTTCTAGGGTTTTGATATTCCAGTTCCTAGAACTTTTTTGTAACCAGGGCTGTTGGACAAAGGAAGTGGCAGGATTTTTTAGTGCACCAGTGGGCTTGAGAACAAGTAATTTAAGCTCATTGATACTTGCATGTGTACTTTTAAAAAGCTGGGAATGCCTCACAAATCTTGGCAGGCAGTTACAGTGACTGTCTGACAAATAGCACTGTTATTGTGGTAAAGGTCTGATTTTAGGATCTATTGCATTCCTGGGTAATGATTTAACCACAGGAATTTCTCTGGTATAGAGCATTCATCTTCTGGGGGACCTGGAATGCCACAGGAGGAGAGATCTTTAGGTCTTTCTAGCAATAAACATGCTGAGAAGACAATATTTTCCTTACTGTGTCGTTTCAGTTGAAGGAATACTCCCAAAAGGCCGTGGAGATCCTCCGCACTCAAAACCACATTCTTACCAACCACCCCAACTCCAACATTTACAAGTGAGTTACTCCTGACTTTGATCCATTTCACTAAAGAGCTTTTCAGCAGAGATGGGGATGCAGCATTTCTGCCATCCAGAGGAGAATGCACAATCCTTGTAATAAGATCCTGGTGGAGGAAGGACCCCTGCTGAGATTGTGTGCTCGCTGCAGCTGGGTTTGGGGGAATAGAGATTCCTTTCTGCCATCTGAAAAATGTGACATTCTCTGTGCTCTCAGCAGTTGGGCTTCAGCTTTTTTGCTGTCATTGTTGGTAAATGTTACAAAATATTAGGGTTGTAGAGTATAGACTTGCAGATTTATGTGTTGTGTACTTAATCATGGCTTTGATAGTTGTTAATTGTACTAAAATGCTGCCTAGTGAAGAACAGTAATGTTCAGTCTGCTTTATACTGTAATGCTTTTCTTCCTAAATCTGGGGGTGGGGACTGCAGGTAAATTAAAACTACACTGATTGAATGGCTTGTGTTTAAGACACAGTGAATGCCAAATTGTATGTGTCGATGTCCTTTGCCTTGTTCCAGCACTCTGTCTGGGCTGGTGGAGTTTGATGGCTACTACTTGGAGAGTGACCCTTGCCTTGTCTGCAACAATCCAGAGGTGCCCTTCTGTGTAAGTAACTGCTGCTCTTAAAGCCTTCCCAATTAGAGGGAGCCAAAATGTTCACAGCAGTGATTTGCAGTGATTCCGAGGGGTTTGGGCTGTAATCATATAGGCAGTGAGTCCTTGGTTTTGTTTTCTCAGTACATCAAGCTTTCCTCCATTAAAGTGGACACGAGGTACACAACAACCCAGCAAGTGGTGAAACTCATTGGCAGCCACACCATCAGCAAAGTGACAGTGAAGATAGGAGACCTGAAACGGACCAAAATGGTCCGAACCATCAACCTCTATTACAACAACAGGACGGTGCAAGCCATAGTGGAGCTGAAAAACAAGTATGTTCATCACGGGTTTTATGTGCAAGTCTCTGAATTTGACATTATGATTTCTGGCCAGGTGCCTGGTTCCTTGTTTTAGCTGATATTCCTCTGTCTCTGTGTGCAAGCTCTGTGCAGGCTCGGTGTTAAGCACCTAACTTCACTGTGTTGACACCAAGCACCAAGAGCACCTCCTGGAGAGTTTGATTGAGAAGGGGATTTGAACCTTGCAGCATGTCCAGAAATGCAGCAAGTGTTAACATCACTTGTTTAAAGCCCTGTAGTAGAATTAAAACGAGAAGTTGGATGGGCCAACTCTGGACTGCTGCTTTACCTATGAGAAATGGTTCCTTTTCAGTGCATCACTCAGTCTGGAGCCAGTTGTGCTTATGGGCTTTCTCTTCTTACTTCTTGAGATGTTCTCACCAGAATCAGATCTTTTTGGCTTAAGGATTAATCTGTGCCTGCCGCTTATTGCTTATTTGAAGTCTTAATCCTCTGTGACATCACAAGTGGCTGCTGTGGAGAGGATTATGATGTCACAAAGAGAGGATTCTGACTTCAGGTTGAGAATAAGCAGTGGGAGCAGATGAGATCTTTAGAAATAAATATCCTGTTTTCATGCAAATGTCCTTCCTAATAAAAAAATGGAGGTGAAAATCCCTAGAAAATGTCTGTAGAATTAAAGTTTCTCCATGAGGCATCAACAGCTCTTTAATCCTAAACAGTCTCTCTCTCTATGAAGAGGATAAAGGCTTAAAATGTATTTCTGGCTACATATCATGTCAATACAGAAGCTAAGGAAACGAATCCTAGAACTGCTCTCCATTCATCCCATTTAAAGTAGATTTGGAGCTGAGACGGTTGCGTTTGGCTTCTCTTCAGACGTGGGCAGGCAGGGTGCTTCCCAACCAAGCCTCTTTTCTTCCCTTTTCCCAGGCCAGCCCGTTGGCACAAAGCTAAGAAAGTCCAGCTGACCCCTGGCCAGACAGAGGTGAAGATTGATTTGCCACTGCCCATCGTGGCTTCCAACCTCATGATTGAATTTGCAGACTTCTATGAGAACTACCAGGCTTCCACCGAGACCCTGCAGTGCCCCCGGTGCAGCGCCTCCGTCCCGGCCAACCCCGGCGTGTGTGGGAACTGTGGGGAAAACGTGTACCAGTGCCACAAGTGCAGGTATGTCCCCCTCCTGCCTCCCCACAGAGCCAGCACCAGGGGTTTACCGAGCCTTTGTGCTGTTGCCCACGTTGGGTGTTCAACCAAACACATGATTCTGGTTAATACAACCGCGCGATCAAATTAGTCGAGAAGTATAAAACAGGCTTACAGGGATTTAATGTTAATACAGGCTAACAAAGGAAGCTGATAGCACAGTGCTGAAAGAACACAGAAGTTTTGCATCAGGCCCTCGGAAGTTCAATAGGGAAAATTCCCAGGAGGAGATTATTTTTGGCCTGACTGTTCCAAGGGCATGAGGCTGGAGTTCAATTAGATGATTGCAGGGGGGGGTTCCCCACAGGATCCTTGACTTAGTGTGCTGGACAGACAGTGCTTGCTTGTCTGTGCAGGGCTTTTGCTGTCCTCCCCTCATTCAGAGCAGGGCTCAGGGTGTAATTTACTGTGGGCTATTCAAGCTTTCACTACAGTATTCTAAATCCTTTTCTTTTGTGAGTTTTGTCTCCTTATCTGATATCTCTTCTCCCCTTATTGTTGCACATATTTCACTCTAATCCTCATGGATTCAAGGTGTTTAGCAGATTCTTTCCATAGATCAGGTGATTACTGCTATATTGAAAGTTTTCCACATCCCTTCTTGAATTATGGGAGCTATAAATCAGTTCATGTCATTCTGCTCTAGTCTGCAGTGGGATAATAAGTATGCTGTAGACCCTCTGCAACTGGGTAAAGAGTGAAAGCTATTGAAAGCCCAGACCTTACAAAACAAAATGATTCCCTTTTATCTGTGTTCTCCTAAAGGGCACAGTGCCCTAGTCTGACGTTCAACTGGGAATTACTGTAGCTAAAGTAGAATTGTTAGGAACAAATTCACATCTGTTTCTGCTTTTTTGGGCTGGAGTGTGGCACTGCTTCTGCGAGGGGTTTATTTATTTGCCTGATGTGTGGGTTTTGCTGTACCTTATGTATTTCACTTGTGGCTTCCCCAGGCAGGTTGGTAGGTTAGACATTTTAAGGGCCATCCTCCTCTTTCACCTGAGTCCATTCACAACTGTTTTCCTTGCCTTGGTTACCCTTATAAAGCTCAGCTGCATTCAGTGACCTTTCTGCTTGCCTTTCAGATCCATTAATTACGATGAGAAAGATCCTTTCCTCTGCAATGCCTGTGGGTTCTGTAAATATGCTCGTTTTGACTTCATGCTGTATGCCAAGCCCTGCTGTGCAGTGGATCCCATAGAAAATGAAGAGGATCGAAAGAAGGTGAGCAAATAGCAGAGTCATTAATGGAATTCTCTATCTCTTGGCTGGGTCAGCAGCCAAGTAGGGGTAGCAGAGATCCATCTCTCTTGGGAGTAACATGAAAAGCATGGTTCTTCAAGGCTTCTCACTGACTAATGCATTCCTTATTTACTGTCTTGCCCCACCAAATAAGTAATTCTTCAGAAGACATAATTCAGTGCTTTACTTACAAACTAGCTAGGTAGCACTAGATCTCTTTACCTTGCTGTACAATTTGGGGTGTAGTGTATGCTTTACCATTCTGTGTGAGGATCCCTGCTAGTGAATGAAGAAGCCATTGCACTGTGTGGCATGTCAGGCTTGGAGGCTGATGGTTGTAGTTCTGTAGAATTTAAAATGGCATCTGAACATAAGAGTTTCCTTTCCTTTTTTATCTTAGGCAGTAACAAATATCAACACTCTCCTGGACAAGGCTGACAGAGTGTATCACCAGCTAATGGGCCACCGACCACAGCTGGAAAACCTGCTGTGTAAAGTGAATGAGGCAGCCCCTGAAAAGCCACAGGTAACAAGGGATAGGTGGATCTCACACAGAACTCAAGGCTGGTGAAACACTGGCCTTTACACTGCCAACAGCAACCCAAGGTCCTTGCTCAGGTGCTGTTCTGGTTATTTTTGTGTGTAGTCTTCATATGCGATTCCTTTTTATTTTCCTCTCTGTTCCAGGATGAATCTGGTAGTAGTGGAGGGATAAGTTCAACCTCAGCTAGTGTGAATAGGTACATACTCCAGTTAGCCCAGGAGTATTGTGGTGACTGCAAGAACTCTTTTGATGAACTTTCCAAAATCATCCAGGTATGATGTGCTTTGATTTGATTCATGTGTTTCTTTCTGTCCCCAGATACAGTGCATATCAGAAATACAAATTAAGATGATGTCATCTGTGTTTAATGATATTTGTGAGCAATAGGTGATCACCTGCATATTTTCAGGGAAATAACAAATAATCATTTCTAAAAGCTATGGTTGCCATGAATACTATGGGTTTGTCACATTTCCAGTGCTTCTAATATAGACAAGAAGCCTTTAACCAGGGCAGGTAACTGGGAGTGAGGCTGGTATTTCAGATGGATCTCCTCAGTCTGCCATTGATGTGAAGGATCTCTAGTTGTGTTTCTCCACAAAACCCACAGTGAATTGGATTAGCCATTATGTGCTGCCTCACAGTTCCACAACTTCCAGTTCTCCTTCTCTGTGCTTTCAGAAAGTGTTTGCCTCTCGGAAGGAACTCCTGGAATACGATCTCCAACAGAGAGAGGCAGCAACAAAGTCCTCACGAACCACTGTCCAACCCACGTTTACTGCCAGCCAGTATCGTGCCTTGTCTGTTCTAGGCTGTGGCCACACATCATCAACCAAATGCTATGGCTGTGCCTCAGCTGTGACTGAGCACTGCATAACATTGCTGCGGGCTTTGGCAACCAACTCTGCCATCAGGCACATCCTTGTGTCCCAGGGCCTTATCCGAGAGCTCTTTGACTACAACTTGCGCCGCGGCGCAGCCACCATGCGGGAGGAGGTCCGACAGCTCATGTGCCTTCTGACCAGGTTAGCTCTTACTTGGTGCATGCAGCCCTTTGACTTCAGTGAGCTCTTGTGAATGCACCATCAGGAAGGAGAAGCTTTCTAGAGTAGATACCTTACATCAGCAGACTGTAGACTCTAACTGCTTGTATGTTTGTTATCAACTAAACTGAAATCCCTGAGCTTTTGGGATTTAGTATGAGCACAACTTGACAGTGTTCTCTTTCCTCTCCTGAAATTAGGGACAATCCAGAGGCCACGCAACAAATGAATGATTTAATCATTGGGAAGGTTTCTGCAGCTCTGAAGGGACATTGGGCAAATCCAGACCTGGTGAGAGACTGGTGTTTGCCAATTTCTGTTTTCTGCCCTCTGCAACTGCTGTTGTGTTCTCATCATTGCATCTTCTCTCTCATATGGTCTGTTTGCAATAGGGAAGGTGTTTGTGTCATGATAAGATAAATGTCAGAGTGGAGCACAAAATGATGTGCTTAGGTATATGCCTGAATTTCCTCAGGCAGTTCTGCCTGTCTTGGCTGTTGTTTGCAGCTTTCAAATAGATTGCCAGTCATCCCAGATGGGCATAGGATTAAATTTACTTAGATCAATGTGTTTTGAACCTGTGTTTTTTAAATATCAGAAGGCAAAAGGGACTGCTGCATCACCAAGACTTCTTAAACCTTTGAACCTGTGTCTGTTACAGGCCAGCAGCCTCCAGTATGAAATGTTGCTGCTAACAGATTCCATCTCAAAGGAAGACAGTTGCTGGGAGCTCCGACTGCGTTGTGGTGAGTTCAAACAAGTAGTGAGAACATTTCATTTTAATATGCTGTACCCACGTCCATGCACTATAGCAAGATCTGTTTCTGTAAGGAAGGGAACTGATACTGACCCAGCTTGTGATTAGGGTTTGAAGTGGAGTTAGCAGCAGATGGTTTGTCTTGAGGTAATGTGTCTCTTGAAAGAGGAGTGTTGAGAAACAGAAAGCTGGAGGTGTGAGGAGAAGGATGACAAGACTCTCTTGCTGTAATAAAGTAGTTGCTTTCCACCCATTGTTGCATGAGAATGTGATAGTTCTGTTTGAGGAGATGAGGTCTTGCCTCACTCTAAACACTTGTAATGTGCTGTACGGAGCTGTGGAGGTGTATTATCTGCAGATCTGGGATGGAAATGTATGTCTGTGTCTTTCAGCTCTCAGCCTCTTTCTGATGGCTGTGAACATTAAGACTCCAGTGGTTGTTGAAAACATCACCCTCATGTGCCTGCGCATTCTTCAGAAGCTGATTAAGCCACCTGCTCCAACCAGCAAGAAAAACAAGGTACTGCCGTGGGTGCTGAGCACAGCACCTGCAAACCTGCTGACTAAGGTCTGGCACACAGGTCTCAGCGATTCATGAGGAAACCAGGGCTTGCTTTTCCTGGTCACGGGCACAAGGGAAGCCCAAGTCCTGTGATTCTTGTCTTTGCAGACTGCAAATCACAGTTTTTCTTACTGGTCTTTGGTGGCTCCAACCACCACTTTTCAAGACTGGGCTTTTTTTTTTCCCACTCAGATTTGAGGCATGGGGTAAGAGCTACTTCAGAGCTACAGCTTGGTTATTTTGGGCAGGCTTTTGGTTCTTTCAGTAGGATCAAATACCTAAAAACAGTAGAATCAAGTGCTTTTGACTCAGATTTGTAAACACTGAGCTACAATTACAATAAAAATGGTATTGATTGTAATTTAGGATAACGTTTGCAAGGGACAAAATATGTTTCTGCTTTGATCTAGCTATCTCATAGCCACAGATTGATGTCAAAGTTGGGTTTAGTGGTATTTCAATAGTAACTGGAATGAGGCATCTCTCTTAGTGCATCATTAACAGAAACTTTATATCCTGCTGTTGCCCAAGAACTGCATTTACCTGTTCATGGCATATACACAACCAGTGATTCACCTACAGGAGCTGCTCTTTAGGGAGCAGGCTGTGGCTTTCTGAAGACTCATAGAATTATTTTCTTCATTAGGATGTGCCTATGGATGCTCTCACCACTGTGAAGCCTTACAGCAATGAAATCCATGCACAAGCTCAGCTGTGGCTCAAGAGGGACCCCAAAGCATCATACGAAGCTTGGAAAAAGTGCCTCCCTGCCAGAGGTAGTCGTGTGCTTTTAACTCTGTGCAGTTTTGTGCAGGAGCGTGTGTGTCCCTCCAGGTTTAATAAGGAATGTGCTTCTGTTGGGTTGCGTTGGCTTCTGTCCTGTGACATGTGATCCTATCTTCACACTTAGATGTATAGTCCTTAGAGACTGTAGCACTGACTTTTCTAGGCTGTGTTGCTCAAACCCTAAGCAGAACATGCACTGTCCCTGGAGATAATGAGGGGAATGTGAAAAATGAAACTGGTTGTGTATTTAAAATGATACCAGCCAACTGAATTCCCCGAGAGGTTATGGGATTTGCATCTGGCTTGGAAGTGAACATACCTCCACGCGGAGTGGACATGGCAGCAGAAAGCAATGAGAAGCTTCTCAGCTGGAGTTTGGAGAGTTCCAGTATGGAGCAAATAACACAATGTGACAGCTTGCAGTTAATAAGTGCTGACAGTTCTCTTGAGCTGTGTTCAATATTGCAGGTGTAGATGCCAATGGGAAATCTCCCAGCAAAGCTGAGCTTCACCAGCTCTACTTGTCAGAAAAATATGTCTGGAAATGGAAACAGTTCATGAGTCACCGTGGGAAGAGACCTTGTCCTCTGGATCTCAAGCTGGGACACAACAATTGGCTGCGACAGGTAAACCTGGGTGAAAGCTCCAGGGGGTGCACTGGGCAGAGTCAGTGGGCAGAGATGTTTGGTAGCTGGCTGCATTTGATGCGCTTTGCACAGCGAGGTCACCAGGCTGTCCTAATGTATGTTGTGCCTTCACTAGTTCATCTTTGCATGGCAAATGACACCATCTTCTACTGCTCTTCCCTCAGGTGCTGTTTACTCCTGCCACTCAAGCTGCAAGGCAGGCTGCATGCACCATAGTGGAAGCTCTGGCCACCATCCCCAGCCGCAAACAGCAGGTCCTTGATCTCCTCACAAGGTATTTCTGTGTTGCCACACTCGACAGCTCCAGGATTGTTCTTCTTCCGTTCCCATGAGAATCTCTGCATCCTTCCAACTTTTCTCACACCTCTCCATTGTATACCTCTGGTTCACAGGTCTTTTTGGGGCTGGATTCTGACACTTACTTAGCTGGAATGGTATTGATTTAGGTTTTTTTGTTGTCTGGCAATAAGCTGTTGCAGTCCTGTACCTTTTCCAGAAGTAAGCAGATGGTGTTCAGCTGTGTGGACAACATTTCCCCTGCCTCTTCAATAGCAAACTAATAGGGTGAACGCTCTTTCAGCTCTGTGACATAATTTATCCCACTTGAGGCTAGTAGCGCAGTTGGGGGACCCTTTTTTGGGACAAAATACCACTTCAGCCATAGTAATGCCTATCAGTTATACTTTTAGCTAGTAGTACCATAGAGAGGATGGATTCCTGGAGGCTTTTTCTTTCTTTGTGTGATGTCCTGAAGCTGTGAATAGTGCTTGTTACTGTGAAGTGGTTGTCAGCTTGTGTTTCTCTTCTCTAGCTACCTGGATGAGCTCAGCATTGCTGGTGAGTGTGCCGCTGAGTACCTGGCACTGTATCAGAAACTCATCAAACCAGCCCACTGGAAGATCTACCTGGCAGCCAGGGGGGTTCTGCCCTATATTGGCAGTCTCATCACCAAGGTATGGACTAGTATGGAGGGACTAGAAAGCTAGCTTGGCTTTTCTGCTTTGAAATCTTCATCTGTTTGTTCAGTGCTGAACTTTGCCAGGTTTGTGAAGCTCACACTTCTGCGCTGTCTGAACTAAAAGCTACAATGGGTTTAGCCCCAGCCCTTGGCACAGACTGGCTGGGACACATTAATAGCTGCTCTGGGGTCAGCTGTGCTAAGGGGTATAAATATTTCTACACTGTCTTGGCACCAGATCCAAGTTGGAAGCTGCCTTAGGTGCCAGACTGGACTCTGAAAGCCCTTAAGGACAAGGGAGGATTAGGTGTGCTACCATTCTTTGAGTGTGAACTACAGCCTGTTGGAGGAGCAGCACTTTTCAGTTGCAGTCTTCAGAATGTTGGGGCTTAGGAGTGTTCCCTGGTGATCCCTGGGGCACTCCAAAGAGGTACATGACAGCCTCTGTGTTAATGGTGGCCTTGAATCCATCATGGAGGGGCCACTAGAGCAGTTGTAATAGGGCAGTACAGGGAGAAAACAAGGAGAATGTTTTAGGTAGTTTTTCTCTCCTCTCCCCTTCCTTCCCTGCTGCTGTGTTGCAGTTCTGGTTTCTCTGTGTCATTATTGGCATTGCAGTGTCTTGTCCTAATAGACTTCTTAATTATTCCCAGGAAATAGCTCGTTTACTTGCCTTGGAAGAAGCAACACTCAGCACTGATTTGCAGCAGGGATATGCCTTGAAGAGTCTCACAGGTATTTGGTGGCATCAACGTGTGTCTTGTAGTAGGTTTAGAGATGGGGGAGTCCCTGTTCTGTAACATCACGTAGCAGAATTTGAGAGATGTGACTTGATGGTTTGCAGATAGATTTTTGCTATTGATTTAGCACTTAACCCCTAAATAGATTTTTCTGTGTTCTTTATGGTCTGTTTCTGCTTTTAGTTACTTGAACTGTGATAACATATGAGAAAACTTCACCATAGCACTTTCCTTCTCCATTTCTTAATTACATTAATTGTACAGTAGAATTCCTGGAACCATTCTAAACATTGATTTGTTCCTACCTGTTGTTTCCTACCTGCTTACTCTACAGTAGCCTTTCTTTTTTGAACCTTGTAGAGGATAGTATTTTCAAAACCTTGCTGGAAATGGAAATACATCAGTAACTGGGTCATTCTTTTTTTGTATTCTCTTCCATTTCTTGAAGAATCAATGGACTAATTCATAAAACCTGGCTTCTTGCAAGAAAAAGCGCATTGAGAAATATGTCATGGGAAAGAATCCAAGTGTTTGCTGATCCTTTGTTGTAGGAGTGACCAGTTTGGTGATGTAACTGTTAAGTCACTGCACTTGTCACATCATCAGAGCCAGCTTAAAGATTAGACAGAAGCAGTCATCTGTTTTTTGAAATACCTTGTGGCAGAAAAATGTCCAAAAGTGCAGGAATGCCCAAGGAAGCTGTGGCTGCCCCATCCCTGGCAGTGTTCAAGGCCAGGTTGGACAGGGCTTGGAGCAAGCTGCTCAAGTGGAAGGGGTCCCTGCCTGTGGCAGGGGTTGGAACTGGATGATCTCAAGGTCCCTTCCAACCCAAACCATTCCAGGATTCTATGATTTTTGTATCAAGTGCTTAGAAAGCTCCTTACACCCTTTCCTCATTCCCTCACCATGGTCCCACTTGCTGTAATTCACAGGGCAGCACTCACAAGCCAGGGGGCTTTACCTCCAACTGTTCATAGAAGGGAGCTTTAAACCACAGGCTGTCAATGGGAGTTGTAAGAACCCATTTCCTTGTGCTGTTTTGATGATGCTGTGCCCTGTTTGCTGACCACATGAAATCAAACTCCCTCTTCCCAATTCCTGACTATCCCATTGCTTTGCAGGTCTTCTCTCTTCCTTCGTGGAGGTGGAGTCCATCAAGCGGCATTTCAAGAGCCGCCTGGTGGGTACAGTCCTGAATGGCTACCTGTGCTTGAGGAAATTAGTGGTACAAAGAACAAAGCTGATTGATGAAACCCAGGACATGCTGCTGGAGATGCTGGAGGATATGACAACAGGTAAAACCACCTCAGTTCCATAAACAGTTTGGGGCAACCACGATGAAAAAGCAGATTGCTACAGCCACACAAAGGACTTCTTTCTAAAAGATTGCTGTAGTGAGGGGGGTTTATGGCTTGGGCATTCCAATAATTCCTTTTGGTACAGAAGAGGTAAGTAGCATTCCTGGAGTTGTTTCTTATTTTCCAGGAATTTAAACCTCCTCCTTTTATGGGATTGTTTTACTGCAGCCCAGCCATGCAAAAGGGTTTTCCTAGTAAACATACCAATAAATAGCCTTTCACCTTTTAAGTAGTGGCTCTGCAAAAGGAGAGGGCACCAAAGTATGGTGCTTATTGCAGAAGGATTTATTGTGTATGCTGAGGTAAAATGGAACCTGTAAAATTGACTCCTGTGTCCCTTTTAATGCTTCCATTTCTTGGCAGGCACAGAATCTGAAACCAAAGCATTTATGGCAGTGTGTATAGAGACTGCAAAACGTTACAGCCTTGATGACTACAGGACTCCAGTCTTCATCTTTGAGAGACTATGCAGTATTATCTATCCTGTAAGTATAGAGAAGGCTGTAGCATCACTTACAGACTTCTTAAGTAGATACAGTTGCTTGCAGTTTGGCAAAAAAAACACAGTAGTGTCTACAATAGTGATTAAATATTAGCCAGTGTGGAACTGTAATAGTATCCTATTTTAGGGGTTTTAGCATTCAGGTTCCCTGCTATGGCATGCGCTGTGCAAAAAGCATATAGTATTGTTTCATGCTGAGGAATTTGCTTACTAAATGATAGTAGACATCCTCATAAGTGCCACATATGTGACAGCATGCAACAGGTCGTACCAGTAATGAAGGGACTGAAGGTTTAGTGACATCCTGTCACTTGCTACCATAAAAGTGCAGGAATGGGAGCATGGTTGGGGGAAAACTTACTCACTCTGACCCTGCTGCTGTTCTTTAGGAGGAGAATGAGGTGACAGAGTTCTTTGTAACACTGGAGAAAGATCCCCAGCAGGAAGACTTCTTACAGGGCAGAATGCCAGGAAATCCCTACAGCAGTAATGAGCCTGGCATTGGGCCACTCATGAGGGACATCAAGAACAAAATCTGTCAGGACTGTGATCTGGTGGCTCTGCTGGAGGATGACAGTGGAATGGAGGTGAGAATGCACGAGTGGGGATTCCTCGTGCAGATGCATGGGGCTGCCATTTCCAGGCAGCAGATGATTGCTAGAGCTGACTTTTTCTTCCCTCTTTTACAGCTTTTGGTGAATAATAAGATCATCAGTTTGGATCTGCCTGTGGCTGAGGTCTACAAGAAGGTGTGGTGTCCCACTAATGAGGTATGTGTTGTCGTTGTGTATGTTAGCACACAAAGTGCCTGTCCTTGATATCGCCAAGAAAAGAGGGCTGGGGAATAAAAATAACATGAGTTGGGATTTATTTTCTAGCATATAATTTCTTGGATATAATAGGTCAGCACCTTTCTGTGCTCCCTTAATGACTGTTACTCAGTTCTGCAACATCAGGGGTTTAAAAGCTGACCAAGGTGAGTGTATTGAACTTTGCTGTGTAGCATATCAGATACGTGAACTGACTTCCTGAGTAACAAACTCTTACATTCCTTTGGGGAAATAGCTGAACTTTGTGTCACTGCCTTTCAAAGCACATTTCACACTCCATCTGCACGTGACACTTCAGTGTGTGGGTACAGACAGGGACACCAGATTGCTCCATCTTCCATCAGCTTCAGAGATGAACCCGAGCTATTTATGCAGAGAGCATGCAACGTTTCTCTGTGTTACTTTGTACTTCTGCTCTTGTGCTTTTCATGTAGGGATCTCAAGAACTTGACAGGTTTCATCCTCCCAGTTCGTTCTTAGTAGCGTGTACTGCCTGTTGTTCAGAGGAAGAAATGGATCCAGTAGTCTCAGGGGACTAGTGCACTGTGTCCCAGAAGCTTGTTCAGAGGTGGATATGGTCCAGAACAACCTCCTTCCTTTTCTTGTAGCCACTAAAATAAACTTGCACTGAGAAGGAATCCATCGGAATAAATATTGCTTGTAACACATACATTCTTCAGAACCACTGCTAGTAGCACTTAAGATCATAAAAGAAGACTGATTTGCCCAACACTTCTTGTTCATTCCTCATTTACTCTTGGATTGCAGTCACTTTGACTGAAACCATTTGTTTCCTGTGTTTGTGGGGAAGAATTCAAACAAACCGCCTGTTTTCAGTGAATGATGATGTGGGGAATGGTTCTCTTCAAGCTTAACTTCAGTAAAAAAGCCTTCTGTACTGCAAAATGAAGCCCAAAGCTAGGTGACAGTGATTATTTTTTAGTAAGGTACTAACTTGAACAGGGAAATGAGGCGCTGCTCTTTATCTGTGCGTTCCAATTGGAACTCTAGTCCAGTTACTGAGGGAAATCATTGCACGTGCTGCCCAAGCAGTGAGGTGCCATTCCCAGGGGATGCTGAGCTGCAGCAGGATGCAGTGCTGCTGGAGAAAGGCAGAGTTTGCTCAGCATTACTGAGCTTTCCTCTGCCTCCCTTTGTGTGCAACTCGGCAGAGCACTTCTGGAGCTGCGGCTCACGTTCCCTAGGAAATAGACAGGCGCACAAGAGCACAACCTCAGGCCCCTTTTTGTTTCCCTTGTCTCTCACTGGCTTTTTTTGTTCATCTGCCATTTTACCAGGGCCCCTGTGGTGTTAATTGCTGGTCGCTAGCATGGCCTTTGAGCAGATCTTCCCCCTGGGGCTTTCCTTCTGCTTATGTATTTGCTGTGACATTAAGCACTGCTTATTCCACATTAGGCTTAGTGCGCTCTCTGACAGGTTTTCTCTCACAAGGTTTCCTGCTCCCAAATCTGGGATTTTGCTTTTCTGCTTTTTATTCAGACCTATGGATTAAAATGGAAAGTTCAGTGATACGCTGTCAGTATTTCCAGCGGGAAATGCAGCTGGAAAACTAGCCTTTTCCCAGGCTTTTTAGCACAGCTTGTGCTTCAGTGGGCTTGGCTGTGTCATTTTAGCAATATACTGTCTTACTGAAAGCTCATTAAATTGCCTTTTCCTTGTGCTCTGCCATTTTCCATCACTGCAGATTTTATCTGTTCAAAAGCACTTGTCCAATTAATCTCTCCTGCTTCATTTACTGGGCTGTGCCTGATCCCTGTACTTCCCAGGTATGCTGTGCAGTACCCTCAGAGGGAAAGGTTGCTGTGGAAAACAGGCATTTCTCTATAGAACCACATTTTTCTTGGCAAGATCCTTCACTGGTGCTAAAGGAAACTGTTTATTACCAGCCTGTCAGTCTAACTGGCAATGCCAGGAAAAGCTGGACAGACCAAGAGAATGAGGTACTGATGTTTTTGCAGGTGGTGGCTTTACTGTTGTTTTTAACTCATCTCAGGGAGGAATGAGGAAGTGAGAGATTTCTGTGTTCCCAGCCACAGTGAAAACAGCAGAAAGGGAAACCGAGGCTGGAGTGTGTATTACATGCTGTAAAGAGAACTGGACTTGTAGGGAAGTGTCCACAGAGAGACAGTAAATAAAATGCTCTCCTGTCTTGCAGGGGGAGCCGATGAGGATCATTTACCGCATGCGAGGGTTACTAGGAGATGCAACTGAGGAATTCATCGAGTCTCTCGACTCCACTACTGGTAATGCGTTTGTCTCCTGAAAGCTGGGATTAGATTGGGAATCTGAGGTTCACTGCAGAGCACTGGCACTATTATCCTTACAGCAGTGAGCTTAAAGTTGATTGACGGTGCTTTTGCTACGTTTACCTGCTTCACCTAGAGTGGATTGTAACAAGCTTTTAAATCTGTACTTTGAATGTGAACACTTACATGGCACAGAGACCATTCTGCCTGGCCCTCCTTCATATTCCTGCTCATAATTCTTTCCAAATTGGGTACAGTTGAAGAGACTTGACTTGCTGGTAAATTTGTCCTACTGTACTCCCCATTTTTACTTCACTGTTTTCTCCCTTGGACTAAGCTTGCCGTACTGTGCCTGCTTCCTCTCTTCACAATCTGTCTGTCCTGTAGATGAAGAAGAGGATGAGGAAGAAGTGTATAAGATGGCAGGTGTCATGGCCCAGTGTGGAGGCTTGGAGTGCATGCTCAACAGACTGACTGGAATCAAGGACTTCAAACAAGGCCGGCACCTCTTAACTGTGAGTCTCAGCTTCTGGACTTTGGGGTCATGAGTTACATGATGGCAAATGCCACAAGCATTGGTGAAGTTTACTCTGATCTGTGTTGCACTTGAAGTGTTGGAGCAGAGTTTCAGTTCACTAGTTAATGAAAACCTGAGGAATTCCTTCTTTCCCTCTCCCATTCCTCCTAAGACTAAATTCTGCCTTGCCAGTGTGTGTTCTGCCTTGGCCTTACTTGAAACCAAAGCTGTCCTATGCTTTAAAGTCTGGCTTGTACTTTGCCCCAGTAGGCTGGAAACAAGCTATATAACTGGGTGCTTTGGTTTCCACAAAATCCTCCTGCTTACTCTGAAGGTACCACTGGAAATGCATTCTCTGTGTTTTGTAGGTACTGTTAAAACTGTTCAGTTACTGTGTGAAGGTGAAAATAAATCGTCAGCAGCTGGTCAAGCCGGAGATGAACACTTTGAATGTCATGTTGGGAACTCTTAACCTGGTAAGGACAGCCTGGACTTCCATAAAGTCCATGTTTTCCATGGACTTCAGTGATTCTAAGGTACCTTTGACTCTCATGCTGCCTTATGCCATCTACAGGAGTGCTGGACTGGCACTACAAATTACCTGTTAGATATTCCTCATCTGTTGTGAGTGGAAGTGTGTGGATCAGTTGAACCAGTTACTGCTGTTCCAATAACTGCTGCCATCTTCTTCAGGCTCTGGTGGCTGAGCAGGAAAGTAAGGACAGCGGAGGAGCAGCTGTGGCAGAACAAGTGCTTAGTATAATGGAGATCATACTGGATGAATCCAACGCAGAACCTCTGAGCGAAGACAAGGTGAGTGCCTGGGGTTCAGTGCATGAATGGGGATGTTGGTTGGGATTCAAAGATTGCAAATATCTTATTAGTGATGCTGAGCTTCAGGAGCTGTAGAGTGCTAAATGCGAGTCCAACCCTTGTTATGCTTGCTGGCATGTCTTAGCAGGTCTTGGAGGTAGGACAAGAGGAGTGCCCTGAACCACAAGCGCTGCAAGGCTGCTTTAGGATGATTCTTGCACAGTTTTGGGGGTTATTAGGCTCTGCTTGGATCCCTTCCTTGCTGCTTTAGGCCACAGGCCAGTGGGAGACAAGAGAAGACAGCTCTGCCTTGTTTTTGTATGTGTTGAAAACATGATTGATTTTCAGCTAACTGAAAATGAAATCTATCTCAACCAGCCTGAGAATGAGAAGAGTTTCTCGCTCATCTTTTGAAACTCTTGGTGTATGGGAACCTGATGCCCCTTGGGTTGGAATCATTAGACCTTTTTGACTAGAAAATGCTTTAACAGTAGGTGGAAGAAGTCAGGTATCAGCTAGAGGAGTTGATACAGCCGTTCCACAAGACATTTGGGAATGAGGTTGGATTTTGTTCTTCAGTCTGTATTAGGGCCTAGACCTCTAATCCTTCAAGAGAGTCTACCAGCAACTAGAGTGAAGGTTTTCTTGAAGGTTATAGATTTATTCCTCCATATAAATCGTGCTGCATTCTTCCTTTGCAGGGTAACCTCCTCCTAACTGGTGACAAGGATCAGCTGGTAATGCTGCTTGATCAGATCAACAGCACTTTTGTCCGTTCCAATCTCAGTGTCTTGCAAGGCCTGTTGCGCATCATCCCCTACCTGTCCTTTGGGGAGATGGAGAAAATGCAGATTCTGGTTGATCGGTTCAAGCCCTACTGTAACTTTGATAAGTATGTTGTCATGTTTCAACTAAAAGCACGTGAAATCAGTTGTACTGACAAGTCTGAACCTTTTATTTCCTCACTGACGCTTACTTCAGTGTAATGCGAAGCTTCAGAGATTCTTAGTGCATAAGCTTAATTTCCTGTTTCACTCCTAAGCCATTTGTAGAAGAAATACGTGAGTGTGTAGCTGAAGAAGTAGGGCTTTAGTGTGTATTCTGAGATGACAAGGGTCTGAGTAGCTGTTCTGAGTGTCTAAGCTGGGGTATATACATTCAGCAATAATGCAGTGAGGATTACAGGCAGAGATGTTTGGAGAGCCTCCAAGTTACCGTTTCTTGTCTTCATTCAGGTATGACGAGGAGCACAGTGGAGATGATAAAGTTTTCCTAGACTGCTTCTGTAAAATAGCAGCAGGAATAAAGAACAACAGCAACGGCCATCAGCTGAAAGATCTTATCCTTCAGAAGGGAATTACACAGAATGCCCTTGACTACATGAAAAAGCACATTCCCAGTGCAAAGAAGTAAGAGTCACTAGTTAATGTATGGCATAATCCTGAACATCCTTCTCTAGTTTCGTCACCACAACAATCTTCCAAGCAAGCCATTAACAAGTCCACATTCAGAAGCATTTAGACGTGGTACAGCTGTGATGCAGAGGGTCTGGTGAGACAATGCCACTATAGGGATGAACTAAAAAGCCTGTCATCTTCCCGTTTGATACCCATCCAAGCTGATCTCTTGGATAGCACAGTACTTGTGTTTCCTGCCTGCTCCTTAGCTAGTGCAGTGTAACAGAGCTTTTGATGGCCAGCTTGTGAACACAAAACAAATTCCAAGGCTGAGAGCTGACACTGTGGGTATTACCATGCGCAATGTGGAAGTGGGAGTGTGAATGTCACTTCATTCATTAATGGAGGAGGGACACAGGGGGAAGGGTGCTTGTCCTGCCTACAGCCTGTGCTCTGCCAGCTGTGCTGCTGGCTGACCACCAAGTGCCTTTTCAGCACGGGTGACTGCCCTTCAGCTGCTGCTTCTTGTTTTCTGTGCAGTTTGGATGCAGATGTATGGAAGAAATTCTTAGCTCGACCTGCACTTCCTTTTATCCTTCGCCTGCTCCGAGGACTTGCCACGCAGCACCCTGCTACACAGGTAAGGAGACTCTTGTGAAAGCCAGGTAGGACGTGGCTGGTTTGTTATGCTGCTTTTAGTGGCTGTAGCTAAGCGGTTACTTCTATAGTAGTTGGTTCTACACTGGTTTTTTGGTGGGCTTGGAGAGACACACCAGCTTCAGGTGTCATCTAGTCTGTAAGAGTCTGGAAGGCAGGGATTTTGACTTCAGTATCTTCTTACTCTACATGCTGTGAGGTGCACACACCAACATGAGAAGGTAATTCAGGCTGTGCACTGTACAGTATCGATAGGTTTCTCGGGGCCTGGTACTGTTTTAAGGATTCTCTTTATCCAACATCCACATCTGAGCTCATACGAATGGCCAGCAGAGAGGCAAATTGCCCTGCTGTCATACACAGTTTTAGGGTTCAGGGCCCATAGTGTAGCAACATCAAAGAAGAAAGACACTTGGTAAAACCAGTTGTAAACCAGTGCTTCTGCTTAGCTGTCATGGGTGGCATTAGAGGGAGCAGGTACTGCTGTGTGCACCTTTTCTCTGAAGAAAGTGCTGTGTTTCAATCCCTGTTAGGTGCTAATAGGCACAGACTCCATTACCAACCTGCACAAGCTGGAGCAGGTGTCTAGTGATGAAGGGATCGGGACGTTAGCAGAGAATCTTCTGGAGGCACTAAGGGAACATCCAGAGGTGAATAAGAAGATTGATGCTGCCCGGAAGGAGACACGTGCAGAGAAGAAACGTATGGCCATGGCAATGAGACAGAAGGCCCTGGGCACCCTGGGGATGACGGTAATGTCTATTTGCACTGATGGCAGACTAGTGAGCTAATGGTCTTTTATTTGTGTCTTGCTAAAGCTGCCACACACAGAATCGTGTTAACTGATTTATTGACAAATATCGCAGAGCTCAAACCCACAGTTTGCTGGGAGAGCAAACACAGTTGCCAGTAGTAGGCTGGGAAATGGAATGGACATTCCTGTTCCAGTGGTGGTGGTGTGGTGTTCATCATTGTCTTTTTAACCTCCTCTTTCAGACAAACGAGAAGGGTCAGGTAGTGACCAAGACTGCACTGCTTAAACAGATGGAGGAGCTTATAGAAGAACCAGGTCTGACTTGCTGCATCTGTAGGGAAGGATACAAGTTTCAGGTAAAGTGGGATACATTTCCAAAGCCTCTCGCCAGCTGAGGGATTGACACAAGGGTTGATGTGTTGGCACTGGGAAATCAGAAATCTCAGGTTTTGTTCTTGGGATCAGTAATTCTAGAGGAGATTGGGAAGTGGAAGTGGGTTTCCAGTGAAAACAAAGCTGAGTGTTTTTAGTGGAAGTTGGAAAAAGATGTCATAGAATGGTTTGAGTCAGAAAGGAGCTTAAGATCATCCAGCTCCAAGCCCATGGGCAGGGACACCACACACTAGACCATGTTGCCCAAGGCCCTGTCCAACCTGGCCTTGAATTCTGCCAGGGATGGAACACTTAATCAGTTTGAGTTTGAAGTAGGGACTGGGAAAGATGAAATCCAGTGCAGTGTAAAAGCAGTGCAAAATGTCAGCTGTTGTAGTAGTGAATGATCTTTAACACAGCCCTTGTGTCATCGTTGCAGCCTACAAAAGTCCTTGGGATTTATACTTTCACCAAACGTGTTGCACTAGAGGAGTTTGAGAACAAGCCCCGAAAACAACAAGGATACAGCACAGTGTCTCACTTCAACATTGTCCACTACGACTGTCACCTTGCAGCTGTAAGGTGTGTTCTGCTCACAGGCTGGGGGGTGCTGGCTGATCTTATGTTCCAGGATGGCTTGTGGGCACTTGGCCTTGTAACTCGGGATGGGTTTGCTTCTGAGTTGATCACTTTACAGCCTGGGGACATCATGGGCTTCTCTGGTGTGGTCTGTTTTAATGTGCCAAACGGAGGTCAGGCCTGGGCACTGAAAAGTGAGCTCCATGGTTTAAAGAAGCTGTGGAATTGTCAAATTTTGATGATTTCTTAGCTAAAAACTTGCGTCCTTCTAACTTGCCTGGGCATGGCTTGCTTTCTCCATGCAGACTTGCTCGCGGCCGTGAAGAGTGGGAGAGTGCAGCCCTGCAAAATGCCAACACCAAGTGTAACGGGCTCCTGCCAGTCTGGGGACCTCACGTGCCAGAGTCTGCTTTTGCTACTTGCTTAGCACGGTGAGTAGGAAAGATAACTTCTCGACCTATAAATAAATGAATTCATTCCCTCCTTAACCCCAAGTTACTCCTGAAGTTGCAGTGTGAGGTGACAGTATTGATTTATTTGCAACCCAATGACCCCCTGCTTTACAAAAGAAACCTGTCTTGACATCAGAGGATTCCCCTGTGTAGTTCCAAACCTCTGTTGGATGGTAATGAGTTACAGTAGCCCAGCCACTTCCCTGGAGCAGATGGTTCATCTGTTGTCAGTATTCTGGTCCATCTTGTGCTGGGTTTGTACAGTCAGGTTAGAAATCAGGAGTGGTAACATCATTAATTCATTTCAGCCAGGGAGCTGTATCCCACACCCTGGACATGGGAAAATAGTATTGATGGGGGGAGATATTATAGATAGATAGATAGGAAGATCCCACACCTGGACATGGGAAAATAGTATTGATGGGGGGAGATATGATAGATAGATAGATAGATAGATAGATAGATAGATAGATAGATAGATAGATAGATAGATCGATCGATCTGCAGATGGACTTGGATTTGCCAGAGTAAGCTGAGAGCCTCCCTTTCAGGAGGTTAATCGAAGGTAGCAGTGATTGCATTTCATACCCTGGTCATTCCTTGCAGCCTTTCAGTGCAATATGTGCTCGGATTCTGAGCTCTGGTGTGGAAGAGGAAACTCGATTGAAGTTTTTAAAAGGTGCTTGAGAAAGTAACACTTAACTGCTGTTTTTCAGACACAACACGTACCTCCAGGAGTGCACAGGGCAGCGGGAGCCCACCTACCAGCTCAATGTCCATGACATTAAACTGCTCTTTCTCCGGTTTGCAATGGAGCAATCATTCAGCGTAGATACTGGAGGAGGAGGAAGGGAGAGCAACATACACCTCATTCCATACATAATCCACACGGTGCTCTACGTCCTCAACACGTCAGTATCTTTACCTCTGCCTTCTGCTTGTAGTCTCAGAAAGGTCTCTCAGAGCTGCACTCTGGGCTTTGTTACGCGTCTGAGGCAAGAAAGATGGGAAATCACACAAAAGCTTTAGGAGGAACCAAACTGCGCATCCTAAGTGGGCTGTTGGAGGTTTTCATTGGTTGGAGCTGCTGCCTGAACATGCCGGATAACAGGGAGCCTATTGAGTAAAAGCAATTGGGAATTAGCTTCTCTTTCCATTCTAGATGTAATTATTACCTCTGGAGTGAACAACAGGGTTATTAGATGAAAGGAACACTGCCAGCTTCATTTCCTCTGGAGCAGACAGAAGAGAGACACTAGGATGAAGTAATTGTTAGTTGAAAACTTAACCCTGGTATCATTTTAGCCAGTATTAAAATAACACAGAAATAACGCAGTCAGTTTTGTTTCCAGTTTTGACATACTAGAATTCTCCTGTAGTGATCAGGTCCCTGAGGTTTGCCTGACTTTGAGACACTTTTTTCTATTATTATTATAACTATCAACAGTGTTTCAGTAAGATCTTCTTTATGCAAGGCATGGGATAAGGGTGCCCTTTGGCTTGACACTAAGTCCAAGTGTGCAAATCTGTTGGTACCTAAATGCTTTGGAATGCACGAGCTGGTCCTGATAATACAGACAATGTAAAGCCCGTATGCCTTTTGTTTGTGTAGTTAGATACTAGAAAGACTAATTAAATGAGGCTATAAATGTTAAAATACACTCCTCTTCAACCAAGGTCACTCCAAATGCAGTACAGGGAAATCTCTCTCATTTTCCTGTCTGGAACTAATCAACATTTTGGCTCTAATACAATTTGTCTATTGTTTTTGCTATCTATCTCCAGATCCCTGTGCTCTTGTTTTCTGAGTCCCTTGGGAGACACATAAATGAAACTATTCTTTTCATCTTGTTGGGCTGCTTGCTGGCACCCGAGAGCCCAGAACCCGCTGTGTGGCTCTTGTGTAAAAATGCTTTATGTAGTTTCCAGGCATTATTTTTTCCCTAAAGACATGATGATATTAAATGGAGAAAATGAAGAGCTACTGGTTGGCTACCAGCTGTAGCATGTAGTAGATGAAAAGGTCACATAGGAACAGCTTTATCTGCTAAGATGCTGCTTTATACCTTCCTGGTAGGGAGGGTGTATCTAACCTATCTTGCCCTGTTTGGCTGGCAGCCTCTTCCTGATGAAGTAGAGCAGTAGACCATGGTAAAGCATGATGGATGTACATAAAGTCTGCTGTAACACAGAGGTCGCATGGGCAGCTCTGGGGTGTCAGGACTCCTGAAGAGATTGGAGCTAGGGGGAATATATATATGTATAAGCTTACAGTAAATCCACTGTCTTTTTGATTTTGAAATTGGCCTTTATCTTCTCAGTGATTGCTTTTGAATTTGAATTTTGCTTTCTGAATTACATGAATCATGTAAACTAATTCTAAAGTCTGGTGTAGGAGCTGCAGTGTCAGATGGGAGATGGTGCAACCTGAACACATGGACTGGTTTGCCTTACTCTGTTTATCCTCTAAAACAAGGAAAAATAGTATTGCCTTCTACTGGGACAATGCCAGCTGCTTTACAGGGCTCCAGTTCCATACACAGCTCCGAGGAAAAGTGATGCTAGGCTTGCCTGCTCCACTGGGAGCAACTGCTCAAGCAGTGAAGGGATTTGGAAACAACCCGATAGTGCCAAGCCTGCACTGCTTTCTCCTGTTCAGGACTGCATGGATGCAGCCCCTCAAAGCTCCTGAGGAGTAGCACATTAACATGTATGAGCCAGAGCAGCTGCTGAAGCTTTTCTTGTGTTTCAGAACTCGAGCAACTTCGAGGGAGGAGAAGAACCTGCAGAGCTTCATGGAGCACCCCAAGGAGAAGTGGGTGGAGAGTGCCTACGAGGTGGACGGGCCCCACTATTACACCGTGCTGGCACTGCACATCTCACCCCCCGAGAAGTGGAAAGCCATGAGAGTGGAGATCCTCAAGAGGCTCCTTGTCACCTCCCACGTGCGAGTGGTGTCGCCAGGGGGAGCCAGCAGGTTAGCCATGCCACAGCCGGTGTGCTCCTGTCACTGTCACTGCAGTGAGAGCCACAGGCAGCTTATGGGGAGATAAGGAAGGGAGTGTGTGTGTTCTAGAACAGTAGATACTGACCCTTCTGGGAAGTTTTGCGCTCAGCGTTGCAGAGGTATAAGCAGGAGCATTCAGTTCTGGGTGTTTTCTGCAGTGCATGAATTAGTTGATCAGTGGAAATGATGCTTTTCCTAGGAATTATATCTCCTAAAAGTAGGAGAATGATAAATTTAATGTCTTTAACCTGCCAGAGGGGAGACTGAGATGAGCTCTTAGGCAGAAGCTCTTCCCTGTGAGGGTGCTGAGGCGCTGGCACAGGGTGCGCAGAGAAGCTGTGGCTGCCCCATCCCTGGCAGTGTTCAAGGCCAGGTTGGACACAGGGGCTTGGAGCAAGCTGCTCCAGTGGAAGGGGTCCCTGCCCGTTGGGGTTGGAGCTGGAGGAGCTTTAAGGTTCCTTCCAACCCAAACCATTCCATGATTATTTTCCCCCTGTATCGAGTGAGATGTAATAATGCTGTAGTAACTTCTGCTGTGTGCTGTTTCAGAGCTGCTAGCATGCTCTCTGCTTGCTTTACTAAAGAAGCTGTTTCTGTGCTCTTTTGATCAGTGCACCAGCTTCTTTAAATAGAAAAATAGAAATAGAAATCAAATGCCATTGCTTTTAAAAAAGAAAAGAATCAATAGCAGCTGTCAGGCACTTGAAGCACAAGAATAAGTGGCTGCGCCTGACAAAAGCCCATACTTCCAGAGAAGGAAGGAGAATTCCAGTTACTGAAAAGATGATTTTAAATAGCTGTCATAATTAGGAATACATTCATTATTATTCTGAGTCGCTTTAAAGGGCATTCTTATTCTGATGACATTAATTATGTGTTTGATAAAGTCATTACATTGTAGTAACACACAACACAGCATGCATCAATGCTATTAAAGGCATCAAAAGGGAAAGAGCCCTTGAAGGGGCTCCTGTATTGATTTCTGTGCTAGTTTCTGCTCTTCAGGCTCAGCCTGTTCTGTGTCTCCTATTTCCACCACCCTGTCTGAGTCCTGGGAAAGGGGGTTTAACACTGACAGGAGATGTTATTGTGGACACAGGGGTGTGCAGCTTTCATGTGGCTTGTGAAGGAGACTGGCAAAGCAGAGCTGTGGGTTTGCCGTGGATGTTTGGTGGTTTTTATCCCTCAGTAAAAGATTCTGTTTCTTTCCCAACTTATTTCCAACCATGACTGAAATAAAAGCATATTGAAACAGAGCAAGAACCTTCCAGCTGAAGCACCCAATCTCTGGAATTTGAGGGGAAAACACTCAGAAGTAGTTCTCAGGAATTATGTCAAGGTTTATTCAAGGACTTGCTTTAATCCCTGCAGACTAAGAGAGCACAAAGCCTGCTGCTGATAATACCTCTCAGCAATAGAAATATGGCAGTTCTTATTTCCAAGGGCTGGGCTTATTTATTCTTGTGGAAAATCAGGAAGAGGGTGATGGATGGTGAAATGCTCTGCAGATAAGGGCCAATACCTTGAATTTAAAGGCCAAGGCAAAACGAAAGCCAGTGTCTGTAACATCACAGTAATGTGTCTGCATACAGAGATTACAGTTAGCATTCCACATGAGATGCAGTACAAGGGTGCTCTCTGGGAACTGCACCATTCAGACTACATCGGGGTGGTGTGGGCTGAAGGTTAGGGAGACACAAGGACTTGTTGCTGCCTTTAGTGGAGGAGATGGAGAGAAGTTGCTGTAGCAACCAACAGTGCATCTAAAAGCAATTTGTGATCCTAAAAAGGGCCTGTAAATCTTATTAATGAACATGCAGGCAATATTCTGTATTCCCTCATACTTAAGTGAAGGCAAGAAACAGTGCCCATGCCCTGTCCTGTGGTTAGGTGTTTCCTACAGCTGCTCAGCTGGATTAGTAAGACACATCTGAGGAGGATCAAGCCCAAAATGTCTTCTGTCTGTGCCAGGAGCTGCAGTTATCACAGTTTGTCTACAACAGCAAAGAGAGAGATTCTTTGGTTTAGAAACACTTGGGATTTAAGCCCAAAGATGAAATTGCCAGAATGGATTTGTTCTTTTTTTTGTAACTATAACTTACAAATGCCAAAGAGCTGAATCAAGTGACCGATTACCTGCTTCTTATTCCTGAAGCAGGAATTCTAGCTAGAAAAAGCCTGTAGACACTTCCCAGCGTAGCTTTCATCTGGAGTTTGGGAGGAAAATATCCTTCTGGTTTTTTCCCCTTTGCTCTGACTGTGACCTTCGTAAAATATTCATGAAGAAGCAAGGTTCCTGAAGCATTGATGTCTAGCTGTCTGCTGGCAGCCCACGTACAACTGCTGAGCCTGAACCAGCTTACATTAATGACAAGGCTGCAGCTATGACATGGAGTAGCTGTTCCAGAAGGTAGCTACCAGACTTAACCCACAAGGGCCTTTTAGTTTTCAATTAAAGGAGCAGACTCCAATTAGATCAAACCCCTTCACATAAAAAGAAACCCTGGCTTGCAGTATTTGGGAGTCTAGAATTAGCCTCGCTCTGCCTTGCTGCTCTTCCCGTGGAAATTTAGTCACCTTTACTAATTGGTTTTCCTTTCAGTAATTAAGCTTAGTGCCCAAGCAGGCTGCCACCTCCCAGGCTGCCTGTGTTAAGGGCAGACACACAAATGGAACCTTTGAGAAGAGCAGAAAGATGCTTTTTTCCCCCCAAGAAACCCCCAGTTGATGGCAGATCGCAGGTCAGACAATACCCTTTTGTCTTACTGCCTTGGAAGCTCATCTAATTCTAGATGCATAGAAAAGGGCTTTTTCTTTCCAAAGCTTTTAAGTGGTGAGCAGGAAGCAGCATGTGATGGAGGCAAAGGTACCTGAGAAACACATGCAAGAAAATTCCAAAGCCATTAGAGTTGCTGGCAGGAGGTTCTGCCTTGCCAGGACCTGTTTGTGATTAATCCTGTAAACTTTGGGAGCTGTTATCCCAGGACAGCTCTGCACCTTTTGGAGCATTTCTTCAGCCAGATGCTGCAGTTCCAAACCCAAACTCCTTTCACAGCGATAGAATAACCGAGAAAGTATTAAATGGGAATTCCTCCATTTCTTCAAGGATGAGATGTTTCCCTTGGAGTCTTTCAGAAATGCTTTTGTGAGTTCGAAGCAGAACTGTGCTCTCTGCCATTGATACAGAAACCTCCATTTAGTTATTTGTGCAGGAATCTGCTGTGCAGGGAGCACACACATGGGGGATGTGGGCTGTTTATTCCAGCTTGGCTGTTGACTTCCTACTAGTCTCAGCAGTAAACTTCCCTCTGTGCTTCTTTTCTTCCTGTGAAATAAGGTGTTATTGGTTAACCTGCTTTGGCTGCCTCAGGCACGGCTGGGCAAGTGACTTCCTAGCCATAGGAACTGTTGTACAGAGGTTGTGGATGCCCAATGTTTGTTTTGTGTCCAAGCACACAGAGCAAAGCTTACTCGGAGCTATTCCCGTGTGGATTATTGATAGGCTTTTTGGCTGCTTCAGCTTTCATGCTATTCATCAAATGGGTTACCAAAGCATAGTAAAGTGATTAACTCCAAGATTGATTTCATTATCTTCCTAGACTGGCAGATAAGACAGTGAAGGACTATGGAACATACCGCTCTGGCCTTCTCTTCTGGGCCCTAGTAGATCTCATTTACAACATGTTCAAGGTAAGAAAAAACCTTGAAGTTCATTCATACCAGCTTTCTAACCTGAATGACTACATGTGTTGGAAACAGAAGGCAGAATTTGAAGCCCCTTTTTTCCAAGATCCTTGTAACACGTAAAACCTCACCTTGGATGAGCAGAAAGGCCACAAGAGGCTGCCTGTGCTTATTGCACCTCTTGATGTTTGGTGTCTGAAGAATTGAGAGACTTCTTCCACTCCTGCATTGTGTATTTGCTTATTTTTGTCTGTTCATCATTCACTAAAGCAAGGACATTCAGAGCTGCCCAAGGGAAGCAGTGGGTAAGGAAGGAGGGAGCGGCGTCCACCAGAAGGGAACCTGCAGCTTCCAAAGAGGGTCAGATAATGAGAGTAAGAAAATACCTGTGACCTTGCTTTACATTCTGTTCAAAGCAGTCACATATGGGGTAGTTTTCACTGTGTGGCAGGGGGTGCACGTCCAAGAGCAACAGGAGAAGGGATCAGTTATTGTTCTACACTGTTATGTTTTGGACTGATTTGATCCCATTTTCCCCTCTCATAGAAGGTGCCTACCAGTAACACAGAGGGAGGCTGGTCCTACTCTCTTGCTGAATTCATACGACACAACGACATGCCAATACACGAAGCTGCAGACAAGGCCCTGAAAACCTTCCAGGAGGAATTCATGCCAGTGGAAACGTTCTCCGAGTTTCTGGATGTGGCTGGTAAGTGTGCACTTTCCCTTTTATAGGCTGCCTTATGCAACTCGTGACTGCTTGAGACAGCAGCATTCCTGACACCGCTGCAGCAGCTTGTTTGTGCTCCTGGTATTGCCTAAGCTACTTCAAACACGGTTGGGAGACAACACTTGAGCATCCCCAGGCAGGAAAATTTCTCTCACCTGATCCTATGGGTCCTCAATCTTGTCTCTTAAATATACATATGCTCATCACAGCTTAAAGGTGCTTTGGGGAATATGTGGTTTGAAGGTTGATGAACAGATGTGACTGTGTACTCAAGGCAGCAGTTCAGTGCAGTGAGTGTGCCTGCATAGAATCATGGAATGGTTTGTGTTGGAAGGGACCTTAAAGCTCATCCAGTTCCAACCCCCTGCCACGGGCAGGGACCCCTTCCACTAGAGCAGCTTGCTCCAAGCCCCTGTGTCCAACCTGGCCTTGAACACTGCCAGGGATGGGGCAGCCACAGCTTCTCTGGGCACCCTGTGCCAGCGCCTCAGCACCCTCAAAGTAAAGAATTTCTGCCTTGTCTCCAACCTGAACTTCCCCTGTTTCAGTCTGAACCCATCACCCCTTGTCCTGTCACTACAGTCCCTGATGAAGAGTCCCTCTCCAGCATCCTTGTAGCCCCCTTCAGACACTGGAAGCTGCTCTGAGGTCTCAATGCAGCTTCTCTTCTCCAGGCTGAAGAGCCTCAATGTTCCCAGCCTTTCTCCATAGGGATTTTGTATCCCCAGGAGTCAGGAGATGCTGAAAACGAATGTGTAGAGAAGCTGCTCTTAGTTCTGTCACAAGTTTGTTGTGCTCCAAGCTAGCCTCTTTCTGCCTGATGTACAGAGCTGCCAGGCAGCCAGCTAGCAGGGTCCCTGCGGTTGCTCACTTGCACAGGAACATGTGCCATATGGATTTAAAGCACACACTTTTGGTGCCTTCTGCATCCAACAGGGGTTTATCTGTGTCTTGCTCATGCTCAAAATAACGCTGCAGCTGTCATTATTAACTTAGACATGTCCTAGCACAAATCCCCAACGTGGGCAGGAAAAGCTGCTTTGTGGATCTAATTATTCTGTCTTATCTTCTCTTGTTTTAAAGGACTCTTGTCAGAAATCAGTGATCCCGACAGCTTCCTCAAGGATCTTTTGAACTCCATCCCCTGAGCCGCCAGCACAGCGAAGCGTTGGGCAGAGACTACACTAGCTTGCCTTCCATCCCTTTGTGTTCCTCCTTGTGCAGTCTGTCCCTTCCCTGAGGAGTGCTGCAGTTTTTGGAGGAGAGTTTTTTGATTAATTCTTTTTTTTTTTTTTTTTTTTTTTTTTATTTTCTACAATTTTTCCTCTTGAAGTGATTTGGAATTTAGATTTGTTTTATCTTGTATTTCAGTGCTTCTATCTGTAAAGCCTTTGTGTATTCAAAGCTGGTTGAAAGAACTTGTACAGAGAGGAATCCAAACCAGTAAATCTTAATGCTTTAGTGTGCACCTCTTTGAAGTTAAATAAATCGAACAAATGGGTAAGATGGGTTTGACTAGTACTTGAACCATGCAGCAGCCTGAATGCCAAGTTCTGTCTCCTCTTTTCTTTCAGAGCTCCTTCTCTCAGGGCTCGGAGCTGCTGCTCTTTCCGGCCCATAGTCTGGACAAGGAGACACAGGAAACAAAAGGCTTGTAGCAAGCAAGGAAAAAGACTGACACTGTCTTTACTGATTTTACATGCAGAGCAGGTTTCCCCTTGCGGGACATGAGCCTTAGGGACTCGTGGACTGCAAGGACAGCGTTTCCCTCAGCCCTTCTCCACCTGGGTGAGGGCATCTGGCCCTGCCACCATCCCCTGGTGCTTCGCATTGCCCCTCTCAAGGCATGTTGCATATCCCAGTGTCTTCCTGACTTCACTCTCACCAAGGCTGTGTTCAAAGCAGGCCTGCATGCTGTGGCCTCTGGTCATGTAGTACTGATGGCCACGTTCCCTCCCAGAGGGATGCGCTGCTGGCCTTGAATTTGTTTTCTCTCTCTCATAAAATTCACGGCTTCTGCAAAATGCATGGAAAATCACATGGAAATGCACATTCCTGAGCCGGCCACTCGCCCCTTTGATAGCTTCCATTTTGGTGTGCATGCCCTGGCCTGACACCAAGTACCTGCTTTGGATACAGCCTTGCCTTTTCTCACCCAGTTGTGCATGCTGGTAACTTACCTTTACCACCAGTTCTGCTGTCCTGTAACCCAGCTGACACGTGGTTAAGCTGGAACCTAATAAAGCTTTCCCTGTCTTCCTTGTCTCTGTTTGAACTTGAATTTCCGCAATCCTAACACAGTCCCATCCCATACATAGTAATTATTTTAGAGGCTGAAGAACTCAGCAACCTATTTGATGCCTTTTGTTTGTGTGGAGCACACGTTATGATTTGGCAATCAGCAAAGGGGTGAAGGCCCAAGCTCTGTCTTCTCGCCTCCGTGGGTGCTTATGTCATTCCTGGCAGTCAGATCTGCTTTTGGGGAGGAGCACTGAATAGCAAACCACCCCAAGAAGCTGGGCTTGGTGTCTTACAGGGGACTCGAGGACATGTCAGTGGGCTGCTGTGTTGGTTGCGTAGTGTGTCTCGCCTCATGAAGGTACAGGAGGGGGGCTGATGTGTGGACTTTGTTCTTTAGTACAGAGATATTTCGTTTCGCCTGCCTTTTAACCACATAAAAGAGAAAAAACACACCTTGTTTTAAAAGCCCTGTGAAGTCAAACCTAACAGTCTTCTCTCCAAATAAACAGCTGTAATAACCTCTGGGTGGCTGCACAAGCATTGCTCACCGATACCGGTGTGTGGTAGCTTGGGCAAGACTAAAACCCCTTTTTGAGGATATGACCTTTCAAATCAGTCTGATCCCTGACAGCAGCTGGAGCAGGGAACAAGAAACCAGGTTTTTGTGACTGTGGTTCCAAAGGTTCTCACAACACGGAGACTTCAGGTGCAAGACTGAAACCGTGCCACGTTCTGACTTTGGGTTTTGTGTAAGAGACCGGTTAAGCTGGGGACAAGAACTATGAATGTGCTTTGGAAAGCTAGGATGCACAGTGGGCTGCATTGCTCATCTCATCATCATCTTGTTACAGACAAATAGGTCTTCTCCCTACAGCCACAGCCTCCTGTGCCCAGCCCCTCAGCATCTGCTTCTCTGCCATTGCCTCACTGGCACAAAGATGGATGTTACACAGACCTCCTGCAGCACCTCTCTTCACTTTACCTGCAACGTAACTTCAGCACAGCTCCAGTTTTTCCTGCTGCAGATCCTGGTGCAGCTCTGTGGCACAGGTCTTCTACAAAGCCAGGCTCTGGCAGGACCTGGTGGAGTTTATACCAGCAAAATCATTCTTTTTCCACCTGTGCAGCCGAGCAGATCCTTAAACTTACCAGGAGCAGAACGTGATCACCATCTCTTCACTGATGTTACTACAACCACAAGGAGGAAGGGTCTTCAAGGGAGGGCTTACACTGTGTCCTTACAAGTGTAAGCACAGTTGCAGTAACTGCTGAGAGCTGCTCTAGGTGCTTTTGCAAAGGCCCAGAGATGTATTTTGAAAAACAAAGGTGGCATATCCATAAACCACAGAGGGCTTGAAAAGAAGGTGGAAACAACGTGATAGTGCTTCTGCATAGCAGAACAGCCTGGGAAGGACTAAAGACTCATAAAAACTACGCCAGAAGTCCTAAAGAGGGACAAGAACAAGAGTGTTTTGGGTAGTTCCAGCTGACACAGGTCACACGCAGCGGCTCAAACAGTGTGCGCAGGCTGCAACATCCCCCACGGGCTGGGGGAGCCAGCAAAGACTTTCAGAGGGAGTGTTACTTAAATTAGAAGAACGAGAGGAGCAAGACTGAGGGAAAATGCCTCAAAGCAGGTAAAGTGACTCAAAACTGATGACCCAAAGCAGCAGCTGAACAGAGTTCTGGAGGGAAAACCCCTTTGTGAGCACAAGAACCAGGGTGGCCTGGGACCCGAACAGAACTGGGCCTTGCTCTGTAAGATGGGAAGCTCTTGACCTTCCTCCTTCTATTTCCTGCTGGCTTCCTTCATCCTGCTGCCTGTTCCCTTTTAAAGCAGGCAAATGCCCTTCTGGAAGCTGTACATGGCTGAGTGCTCTTCTGACCAGGATGGGAAGGAAGCCTTGCTGCTGCTCCTCTGCCCTGCCACCACCGCTTCCAGCTGGCTCTCCATCCAAGCATCTCCCCTGTGTTTGCCTCTTACTGCAATAGCCTGGAAGTATTTTCCATCAAGCAGTGGATTAGGGCTGCTGAGCATAAACACACTGTGAGCTGCAGTGTTTCAATGCCATCAAAGATTCCCTGGACTTTTTCCGATGCCGGAAAAGCGATTTATCTCGCTGGACATGGATCCATACAGCTTGTGTTCCACACAGGGGATGGCCACATGGATCATGTGCATTCAAGCAAGACCATGGTGGAGCCTCGATGATCACATGGGGACATCTCAACTACAGAACTCTTCTCTCTTTGTCCAAAGCTTTTGGGAAGCCTGAGCACACGCTGGACCAAAGGTTACCTCGGTATTAGCCAACAAAATCCCCTTTCATAGGAAGCCATTACCAGTTCCTGCCATGGCAATGCTCCAGGAGGCTACAGCAAAGCAGTGAGACACCAGACATGTGCCACGGGGCACTGAACCACATGAAAACAGTTCCTAGGGCACAGCCTGTGCTTACCTGGCAGGAAGGTTTGTGTCGTGTTTGATGAACTGGGGTTTGACGGTCTTATTTGAACCAAAACACCTCCTGAGGTGCCCAAGCCACTGGTTCTGGGAAGCACAGAGGCTTTTCTGTTTGCTGGGTGGCTAGTTCTTAGAATCCCAGCCTGGTTTGGGTTGGAAGGGACCTTAAAGCCCATCCAGCTCCAACCCCTGCCACGGGCAGGGACACCTTTGGCGTGGTTTAAAACCCAGCCAGACAGCTTGTTCACTCACTCCCAGTGAGTGGTGCCGGGCTGGAAGCAACCGAGGGGCCCCCCCAGGGGCTCTCCCCTTCCCCGCTCCCATGGGTTGAGACAAGAGCAGTCCAGCAACCAATGAACAACACAAATCAGCACCGCTACCACCAATGACAACAATGATAAGAGGAAATAACAAGGGAAGAGAATACAATACCACCGGCCAAGAAAGGAGTCTGACCCAGAAGCCCGTGTCCTTTTGGGTAACTCCCAGTTACCCCCCCACCCCGCGCATGACGTGCTGTGGTATGGAATACCTCCTTGGCTAGCCCGGGTCAGGTGTCCTGTGTCTGCTTCCTCCCGGCTTCCCCTCCTCCCTGGCAGAGCATGAGCCTCACAAAGTCCTTGGTCAGACTAAACATTACTGAGCAACAACGGAAACCATCAGTGTTATCAGCACTGCTCCCAGGCTGAAAGTCAAAACACAGCACTGCACCAGCTACCAAGAAGGAGAAAAGTGACTGCTACTGCTGAACCCAGGACCCCTTCCACTATTGCAGCTTGCTCCAAGCCCCTGTGTCCAGCCTGGCCTTGAACACTGCCAGGGATGGGGCAGCCACAGCTTCTCTGGGCACCCTGTGCCAGTGCCTCAGCACCCTCACAGGGAAGAGCTTCTGCCTTATCTCCAACCTGAACTTCCCCTGTTTCAGTTTGAACCCATCACCCCTTGTCCTATCACTACAGTCCCTGATGAAGAGCCCCTCTGCAGCATCCTTGCAGCCCCCTTCAGACACTGGAAGCTGCTCTGAGGTCTCCACGCAGCTTCTGTTCTCCAGGCTAAGCAGCCCCAATGTTCTCAGCCTCTCTCCATATGGGAGCTGCTCCAGCCCCTGAGCATCCTCGTGGCCTCCTCAGGACTTGCTCCAACAGCTCCATGTCCTTCTGATGTTTCCCAGGACAAGATCCCCACTTTGCTCATCAGAAGGGCACAGCACGGGGCTGGACTGTCCCATCCCGGCTGCTGCAGGAAGATCACACCAGGTTTCACCAGCCCAGCCCTTTGCTGTCTCTGTTGCAGTCCTTGCAGCACTTGCTCTGCAAACACTGGCACCGTTGCACCAGCTTTGCTGTCTGCCTGGGACAACAAAGCAAATCTTCTGCTAAACTCCCTCCCTGCCCCAGCCACACCTTTGGGACCAGCCCTGTTTTCAGTCTGGGGCTTATTTCTTCCCATTTCATGCCCCATTGAACTCAAGGACGAGATCTGACGTTCTCCAAGCAGGTAAGGGACAGAAATGAGTACAAAAGATGAGTATTTGCCCAGAGAAGCTGTGGCTGCCCCATCCCTGGCAGTGTTCAAGGCCAGGCTGGACACAGGGGCTTGGAGCAAGCTGCTCTGGTGGAAGGGGTCCCTGCCCGTGGCAGGGGTTGAAGCTGCATGAGCTTTAAGGTCCCTCCAACACAAACCAGGCTGGGATCCTGTGATCCCGTAAAAAAGCACCAAATCCAAGCTCCCAAACTGCCTTTAAATTCACAGCAACTTTCCAGCCACCCCAGAGAGCAGCCAGGCTGAGGAGCAGCATTCCCAGAGCATCCCAGGAGACCTCCCATGGTCCACGCGAGCTTATTTGGAAGCCACCCCTTGGGTTGCATCCCTGCCAGATTCCAGATCAGAAAATCCAGCTTGGCTTTGACTTGCAGGGATGATTCACAGCTCAACACGTGCAGAGCTGAGGGCCCGGCGAGGAACAAGCTGTGCAGCTTGCAGAGACCACCGAGCAAGAGGGTTGGGTGAGTTACGTTCACAGTCACCTCAGGGATGTCTCCAACCCTGAAGGCCTCCAAGCCCCAACGCCCTGATCCTCCAGGAATAGTCATTCCCTTGCAGGTTTCCAAAAGAGGAAAGAAATGATTGATTAAACCCCCATTTCTAGGGTTTTTTTTTGGCAGGATTGATCCTACTCATTCACATCCACTGGAGGAGGAACTGGCTCCATCCCTTTCATCAGCGTCTTGGATGTCAGCAGAGGTCCCCTTCCCAAAGGGAAACGCGCTGGTAGGAAGAGATGCTCTTTCATTACGGGGACCCCAGGTATCACCCCCCAAAAGGGATCAGCCCCCAGGTTTCAGATGGGGAATGTGGCTCTCAGCCTGCTGAGGTCTGTGCTGCCTCCTGAAAGGTTCTAACTATTCTAGGGTTTTCATAGCCTTTATTAGCAGGATAACCCCATGCTTAGTGCTCTTCCCCACATCCGGCTCTGTCGCTGCAGGTCCCACGTTTGAAGCAGGAGTTACAATCTCTCTCCAAACCCCTTCTGCCCCACAGTGATTTTTCCCTTCATCCC